ATTTTTTATCCAATTAAATAACAAAATATGTCCGTCTTCCTTGCGTTAATATCCAGAATGCCAACCCAGGTGTGGACCTTAGCAACGAATGTTTAGAAACGAAATTAACAAATAAAGTTCCTTTGTGGATAGATATCACACGAGCGATATATCATAGATAGATATCGATGTGTTGTTTCAGCTTATATCAATTAAATATATTATATATATCAAGCAAATTGAAATGAAAGTGAAATCGATAGATGTTTGTATATCTTGGAATGTAAACAAATTACCGATTTCATCTACTATTCAGTAAGTTTAGGTAGGCATCCTCACAATGAATTATTTGTAAAGATGTTCGTTCAAAGGTTAACTTCAAAAGGTTAACTCGTAAAAGACTAAAAGAGTCATGTTGGTTATCGCAAATGATTCGAGACGATTAATGTCTTGGATTAAGAATACTTTTTTTGATCATTTTGACCAGGTGTATCTTTTACATTCATTCATTATCTCCAAAAGTATATATCATAATGATTAAGTTAATCAGATGAACGGGGCAGATAAACCCAATCTCATCGACATACGTACTTTTTCAAAATGTCAACGTAATATTCACTTAAATGGCAACATTTTATTATAATGATTAATTTGTAATAAGAAAGTGCTTTGAGACATGTTTTATGGAAGGTAGTAAAATCCCCGTTACCTGCGACCTGCACCTGCGTCTGCGACCTACAGGGTAACCAAAAAGAAGACCCGCAGGTCACAGGGATTTTACTAAAAATGGCTAGATCGTAGAAAGAAGTAAAAAGCATGAAAAATTAATCTTTTTGAAGCTGTATTTTTCGGGAAAGAGTTGGGACAAGCTGCAACAAGGATTAGGCATGACCAAGTGCACTAGGGACAATCTGCCATGGGTTTTGGACTTTCTGTTTTGTAGACTTAAAACACGCATAGGCGTAACCAGGGGTGTGCGATTTATTTGAAGCTTCTAGCTTAACGTTGAATGAAGTGTTGCATAATTTTTTGTAAAGTTCAACATGAATCTAAATCTGCCTATGCCACGATCGCATCCCCCCCCCCTAACTGAATACCGAAACTTGCGATCGCATCACCCCCCCCCCCCCCCCCCGACTGAAAACTCCTTAGCAAAACTCGGTAATATTTTTGGTTCCCCTGTAGCTCGCAGGTGCATGCAAGTGGCAGGTAACAGGTAACTACTTTCCATATTTTATCCTAGAAGGAACGTGGATTGCTCAAGGGACTTTAAAGATACTGAATTTGAATGATCAAAATGAGCTGAAATCAGTGGATATCATGAGTTTTCTCTTTGTTGAAATAACATGGGGAACACCAATCTTCAGGTCTCTTTGAGAAAATAATTGACACGTTAAAATAATAAATGTATTAAACATTGTAAAGAGACTGCGATTTCGGTAAAAATTCAATAAATAATTGTTTGTAAGCTGGGTCGATAAAATACTGCATTTGTTTCTGTATGTCACGATCTTGCTTCCTTTATGCCAAACACTACTGAAATTTACGGAAATCACTATAGAAAAAATAAAACTACTTTAGCCAAATTATCTAGTGATCATCTTCTATGTTCATACAAATTCGAGTTTTAGATTTGGCGTAGTTAATTTTTCGCTGCATTCCTTCAAATACCAAAAGGATCAAGACCAATTAAAGCGATGGGCCCTCAGCATGTAATGTTTTTAAACCAACATTCCAGCAGCTTAAGTACGTGTATGCAACTTCCTGTTCATTGATGACAACATGAAGACACAATCCGCCAAAAGGTGAACGAATCAAACTTACCAATATACCAAGGCTATATGTAACAATATACTTCCGATCATTATGGTATACACGTTTTTTGTTTATATCGCGTTGGGATGAGTGTGACAGATGTAGGACAACAGCGTCCGGCTATGTAAGGTTTTGATCTATTTGTAACATGACTTCATTAGCAAATATGTGACATGGTGATCAATAGCAGGATGGTGTGTATTAAGGCATCAGTATCTACTTCAGATCTGTTACTGGACACGCGTTTCTCTTTTACTTTGTTTATACACATATCACACGCATTGATCTTGACATTGATCTTGGCATTGATTATGGTATACTAGATATAGACTGGAGGATTATTTACTGAGAACAAGTTACTTATCTGCGAAGCAGAAATTACTGTCCAAATGATTAAATAACCTCTTTTTGCATTCATGATTGATTTTTATCTTCAAGGCGAGTCCTAACTCTCTTTATAGTAATTGAAGTATTGTTTGTATTAAATGTACCAATGGATAGGTATCGTTAATGTTCAATGAAATCATAAATAACCTCGAATAACCTCGTCTCAAAATTCACATTTTAAACAAGGTCAATACACAGAAAATTATGTTAAATAAAGGGAAAATGCAATACTTATTCCAGAAAGAAAATCGATGGGATGATTCAGCATTTTCAGACAAAAAGCGCAAATTGGTATCATAGTATGTATATGGCCATCATTTGCGTTAAGGTGTAATTGGAATAAAAATTGATTTTTAGGTAAACAAAATATTTTGTATTTCAGGAATGCTTTAAAGTTTATCCTGTAAAAAATTAATGTCATGAAAAATTATTGAGAATTCAAAAAGTTATATGGAAAAAAGAGGGATGATTTGTTTTGTCCCGGCTACTATAGTCAAAAACAGTTTTTACAAGTAAAATTGTATCATGAGTGTGCTTACTACTTCCACTGTTGAAGTGAGCCAATCCTCAAAAGCGCACACCCTCGTGTTTATGTTATATATCATATGAAAGTATATTGTTTTGTGGTGTAATTGTAATAACTTTTATTAAGCTCAACAATCGTATTACTTGCTACATCTACCTCGGCCGTCGCGTTAGCATACAATCTATAGCCATATTTTGTCAAAAAGTCGACTACTATGCTATAAAGGATGACCAGACCTAAAAAACTACATTTCAAAAAATTGAGAGAATCTGCTATATCGTCAAATATATGAATTGTTCAAATCATAGAACAATGTGGATAGGGGTCAATTATTACGAAACACCCTTTATCCTTTAACCAGTTGAGTTTTAGGGAGATAAGTTGGTAAGATACCTGTATATCCTGTATCCTGATTTTGAGGTTTCCATATCAAAAACCTCCGTATCTCCCGCCATATCTGCCGTCCCGGGCATATCTACCCACTTCTGGTGATTCACAAAATGAAAATAGAAATTTCAACTTTACTGGGTATAGGATAAAGCAACTATGTACGGCCAGTTTGGAAATGGGGTTTATCCCTCGGGATATATGCTTGTACTGTCTACCTTCGGTCCCCTTGGATAAGCCCCATATCCAAAACCTCCCAGTACATAACCCTTATACCGGTCAATATCAGGAAATCATGCATAAATCATCATAGGATTTGCTGGTTTGTTAGCTCACTTTGAACAAAAGTTCTACCTGTTCTACCTGTCGTAGATCAGCCGAGATGCTTTGCACCGATAATAAGGAACCCGACGTCCAATAATGCCTCAGTCACATTTGATATCTACGGCAATCCTACGGCAGTCGTAGCTTCCAAAAATCGAAAGAAATATGCAGCACAAAATGAAGAGATAAGCACTACGATGTAGATTTTCTGTATAGAGACTGCAATTACAATATAGAGTTTGTGAAGCTATGGCCGCCGTACGACCGCCGTAGAGCGAATGTGACTGAGGCTTAGGCCTGATATTTTGAGTCCTTGTAAATTACACTTAATATATGCATGTTTGTATAATATCGTTTCTATATTTTCCCAATTAAATATTGGAGTATTATAATAAATAACATTAACAACATTTGCATTTGTTAATTACAATCAATATTTACAATTTCTTATGGAGGGATCAGGTTAGTACTCCATACCCAATGATTTTACTGGCATACATTTAATGCCCGAAATTTCGAGGTTAGAGTTCGGCTTTCGCGACAGCAAACGGTCGAAGGAAATGTCTGCAGATAATCAAATATTGTACCTCGTTGAAGAATGCTCTCCTTTGACTGTGCTGTTTGTTTGTATAACATTATTAGTACGATCCTCATAAAACAATCCACATTTATCACATCGGTTTGTTGTTTTACGTAATAGGTGTTGCGGCTTAGGCCACAGTAAGGCTATGTCATTAGCTCTGCAGATAATTGTCGAGGTAAAATAAGAATATCCATTTGTTGTTTTCCTGCTTTCTTTTCTAAGTAGGCCTTTATTTTTAGCACAATAGTATATGCAATAAACATACATTTAAAGAAATTAGTAGACATATGTTTCGACTCTGACGAAAAATTATTATTTGAGCTTAGGCTCAAGAATCATATCTTCTTATCATCACACTTAGAGAATTTCTTCTGAAATCCATATATCGTGTTAAGGAAAAAAGAGGGACGATTTGTTTTGTCCCGGCTACTATAGTCAAAAACAGTGTTTTTACACTAAAATTGTATCATGGGTGTGTTTTCCACTGTTGAAGTGAGCCAATGCTCAAAAGCACACACCCTCGCGTTTATGTTATATATCATATGAAAGGAAATACAAATATTTCTTTCCACAGTATTTAGGTTTTGGCAGCCTTCGGGAAAATCAAAAATGACACAAATCCGCTGGGACCAAACCAAAATCTTACTAGAAACTGTACAAGCATTTACTTCCAAAAGATCCAAAGAATGACTTTTGATGATATTGATATTGGCCCTTTTCCTGATCATGACATGCAAAAGGCTTTTGACACTGTTCACATTTCTCAATGAAAAATAATTTTTTGCTGAATAATGCCGAGTAAATTTCTCAGGTACGATCAAATTCAATCTAAACAAGTTACTGTCTAAAACTTCCTCAAGTAAAGTTACAATCCCATGGTGCACTCCCAAGGCTCGATCATAGGACCAAAGATGTTTATTTTATATGTTTAAAATATCGAATGAGAATTTTATATCAACATTGACCGAATACACTCATTTGAATAGTGAAGCGGACTCCTGACAATTATATCTTAAATTGTAGATATTTCTGAATGGTGTGGTATTTAGAAATTGCTTAATTATTTTCTTTACTCCTGACAGTTTCAAATGATTTTGCAGGTGTTCATTTTTTGCCAATCAGCCAATGTATGGAACGTGGACTGCATGGAGTACGCGTTAATATTTGGTAAAATTATTAAAAAGTACGCAGTATAGTATATCCTTAAACGTTGCTTTCTTGACGACTCATATTAGGTTGAACTGCCGTTATCTTTGTCGTATGATATTTCAGTTCCCTCTTTGTCAAACTTCGGACGAAGCCCCAGCAATTCCCTGAAAGCTGTGTTGAATGCCTTGTTCCTGGAGGCATAGATCAAAGGATTCATCATACTGTTTGCGTAGGCGATCTCAATCGCAAAATAGTTGGCGCTAGTCAGCCACACGGGCTCGGGATTGCTCGTGATAGATCCGAAAATGATGTAGGGTGACCAGGTGAGAAGAAAGACCCCTAGCACGAACATCATCATCTTGGTTATCTTGTTGTCTTTCTTAAATTGCATCTCAGCCATTGGGTCTATAGCGCAAACTTTCTTTCTTTGCTGCACGGCTATTATGCCAATGTGGATGTACAATGCGCATGCTATACCGTACAGAATGCCGATATGCAATTTGATGACCGTGTTATAAGAAGAACTGGCTGTGTTGTTTAGACGGCACGCAGTTGTTGTGTTCCAGACGTAAAAAGCTGTCAGACCGAGAATGGTCAAACCAAACATATAGACTACAATACACACGCAGATCAACACTGCTTTCGTGTGCGTCATGATAGCATGATATCGGAGGGGTTTAGTCACCGCTATGTGTCGATCTATGCTAACTGCGCAAAGGCTGAACACAGACGACCCTAATGGCACAACCAGCAAAATAGTTCGTACCTGACAACATATTTTATTGTCAGAAATTGCATATCCTGCTTCGCCCATATAATTTGCAATGTGCGAAGCCACTAGTCCAAACGGTATGCCAAAAGCTCCAACTACAAAGTCTCCAATCGCTAGTGCGACGATAAAAACGTTTGTAGTTGTTTGAAGTTTAGAAAACTTGAAGAACGAACGGATGATAAGCATATTCCCAAACGCTATGAATATAATGAGAACAACTTCAACGATCACGTGTATTGAGGTCAACCAGAATGGTAGCGGACTAACTTGACGTTCATTGCCTGTAAGATTGTCATATGTTGTAGTGTCATCCATTTTAATTTTTACCTTTTTACTCTCCAGAGCTATGAAAAAAATATCTGTCGAGGTCAGCGTAGTGTATAAACAAATATTGTTCCAGTATAGTTACTGTGTGTTTATTTTCTTTATTTAAATCATTTTTAAGTCTAATGAATCACTTGGCTTTACAATTTCACTAAAATCCGCTTTTGGTGTTGCGTGAATGGTTTCTTGAATGAATACCCAGAGTAGTCAAAAGTAACAATTGCCGTCTGTACCTTAGCAACGAGTGTTTGGAAACCAGACCTGTATCAGCTTTTGATGGAGTCAAAATGTTATCGAGCCTGATTGACCAATATATCGAGGCGTGAATCGATCTGTAACAAAACACTTTCGTATTGCAATAAAAATTGACTTTTGCTTACAAATTAAGTATTTAAGTTGTACTATCGATGGAGATAAAAGTTTGAGTGACAATGGACAAGAGTATCCGATATACAAATAAAGCAACACAAACAAAACTTGATGTTTTCATTATATATTGCCCTTGTAGATGATGTAAAGTATTAGTGTTAGCTTCTTATTGGAACATACACGTACATAGTATTCAACTCAATATGGCATTGGCCTTACACCCCAGTCACATTTGTCGTACGGAGGCCGTAAGTCGACCGCAGATCAATTAAGTCAGTGTTCTGCGGCGAGCGTAGGAAAACTACGCCCGCATTGCGGTCTCCGTGCGGCGTGTCCAGTTTTTTACAGGCCGCGGTCCCCGTAGAAATTAACAGGCCGTTGCCAGACCACATCTAACAGTCCCACGGTGGCTGCACGTTGACTTGCGTCTGCCGTAGTGTTTTGATGGGTTATATACACTCGGAAACAGTTTTTAGGTCAGGTTCGCTGTCATATCTTTGCTGTTAACACACAATATAGATAATGATGTTTGATGTAATACTATAGCAACATATACTACAAAAGATTAAGTACAAATGGCCAATGTAACATTCAAAACTTTCTATTTGATACTATATCCTAGCACTATAAATAGCATTTATAAATTTTACTTATGTAAATGAATTAAAAATAAACAGCAACGTTTATCAACAGAAATTCAAAATTCGCCGTGCGGCTGCCGTAGGAAATGTGACTGCAAAAGTATCCTACCGCAGAAATTCTACGGAGAGCGTAGAAATGTTACTGACCGCAGAAATGATAGACCGCACGGCGGCCGTAGGAAATGTAACTCATGTTGACCACGTGGTCACTAGCACTAGATTCTATGTTCACTAAAAAGCTAGTTTTACGCATAGCCGTTTTATCTTTGGTCTGTACTTCGATATGATATGCTGTAACTTATGCAATGGTGTAACTAAAGACATTACTTGGAAATAATAATTGTTATAATGAGGAAAAATGTTTGAATTGTTCATTTTTCGTTAAACACTGAAAGGCAGCGCATCCTCTTCTTAAAAACTATTGGCAATCAAGGTGGTCCAGCAGTTTGTTCATCATACGTACAAATATATTCATCAAGAATACTCTTACTGAATTTGAAGACATTGACTTTTTAAAAGGATGAGATAAACAACCCAACATGTACCATTACATGCATGCATTACCATGCTACATGTAAGCCTTACATTTCACTATTCAACATGTAAAATGTCACCACCTGGCATTAGTTACAGACGCCGTTTGTTACAGACGCCATGTACAGACGCCGAACCCATCCACAAAAAGGTTGAAGACTATAACAATATGTCACAACTTGGTGTGGTAACATAAAAATCAACAACCAAATAATTTGGTTCGGGCATCTTGTATCTACTTCCTGATTAATAAGAAGAGTAAGACCTTGTATAGTAAGACTTGGCGTTTAATATCAGTTTTGTCAAAAAATCTAAGATCACTTGAGTAAAAACATCACAAAGTGTAAATATTGTTACAGATGCTAACAATACACTTAAAAATTATAACGTATACAATATGTCAACACCTCTTAATGGTGACATAATATTGATTATATAAATATGGTAAACATTAGAAATTGCATTATTGATATCTGTATTTCAATTATTTACAATCTTTATAATATCTACATAATTACAATTTATGTTCCAACAAGAATAGAATTCAGGGAAAAAGAACAGCATTTGACATGTTGATAAAAAATGATAAATGTGGTGTCAAACAGGGCTGTATGCTATCACCAACTCTATTACTCTATGACAGACCAACGGGTACAGCTTTCATGTAATGGTACATACAAGCTGAGATATCGAGACATCTTCATAAAATGTTTGCAAATGACATACGACGTTACATTACATTTTCAATACAAAACAAAGCATGACAAAATGTCACCACTCTGTAAGTTATTGCAAATTGTTAAAGACGCCAAACGCTACGCCGAACGCCAAGCGCCGTACTGTTCTCAAAAAAGTTGGAGACTATAACAATATGTTACACCACTTCTGGTGGTTACATAATAAAACTTGTTAAGTAATATTTCACTAGTGAAGTATTACTTACATGTACTTACATGTAACTATATGTATCATTTAACAGGATATTGAAGGAGAACATCGAACTTGGTAACTTGTTAACTCCTTAAGGAAATAAAAGTTGATAGAAATCGGTTATTCAACACGTCTCTTCAGTAAGCACTTATATCTCAACAGGATAGAGTGTGGTAATAAAATATGCAAAAATTTCATCAAATATGCTTAAGTATTCTCAAGTCATCAGGGATATTGATACTTGTTTGGCAAAACTATATGCATTTCTTGATAACTTACTGGTAAGTTATGTACCCTAGTTCCAAAACAGGAAATAAAACGAATCATTTTTTGTTGTAGTATTTCCATATCAGTTCAAGGAAAAATGCAGTTCCTGAAAATGCATCTTGACAAATTTTTACATAAGTACTGAAATTAATACATTTGTAAATGACAATTCCAGATTAGGCCATTTAAAATAAAGACATGTTTAACATAACATCCCTCCTAAGGCTAATTTTGGAAAAAAGATTGACTCCCTAGATTTATAATTAAACAAATCCAAATGGGAGTTGAAACTTTGATCCAGAACTATAAGATCATTATCGTCAATGGAGTTCCATTTTGAAAACACATTTATTTCAGTGTCAGCATCAAACAAAAGCTGTAGCATGTATCATTCTATCAATCAAGTCGTTGTACGTTTTACAGTATTTCTTAACGTTGAAAAACACTACGTACTGCGAAATTCCATATAGCAATACAATATACATAGTCAAAATGTTGTCTTTTAAATACATTTGATGTTTTACCTCCCACTCTCCTAAAATTTGACCCTGGGACAACAGGATGTTAAACATATTGACTTTGAATGGTCTTATCAAATCTTCTAAACACGATACAGTTTAAACAACACATACATTTGCCACCTGACCCAATCTAGCAATCTCTTACATTTCTATTGTATCTAACTATTGATATCAAATAAACAAAGCAACTCAAAGGCGCAAGTAAGCCTCGGACCAATAATTGATTACTAATTTACTCCAAGAACAAACCATTATCAATATTTACTGATGTTTTAAGAGAAACTTTAGCTCATTTAACTAATCCATTAGCCGATTCAAATATTTGATCTTTTGGTAATTTGATGTTAAAGGGCAAATACAAGTGTATTATTACAAAGATAGCAATGACATCAGAGGACGAAATAATGATTTAGCAATTATTATTGTAATGGAGAATAAAGAATATGCAATTACAAAAATCATTTGGGATCACCATCAAAGTTGAATACATGTACCCTATTGTTATAATTCTGGTAATTTGAATGACTGTTCTAGGGGTGGGGTCAATATTTCAATGTCCATCAAAAAAACGGAGGGGGGAAAGCGCCATTTAATTAAGTGACGGACATTGATTTTTAGTTTCCCATTTTTTGACGGACATTGAAATTTTGACCCGGCCCCTTATATTATTATTTTTTCATTATTTATGTATGATTCCATTTGATGAATAATAAACAAAACACAACTAGACGCATTTTCATATACAGTAAAACCTGTGCATATTGAAGTTTTTCCAAAAAAGACGTTCAGTGTTGGTAGGTGTTCACTACAGAGAGGGTAATTTGTACAGAAGTCAGTAGAGTATGTGTGGATGAAGGGTGTCAGCTAAAGACAGGTGTTCACTAGAAAGAAGTGTTCACTAAGACAGGTTTTACTGTAATAATGTGTACCTTACTTTAAAATATTTCTTGCTCTTTAGATGAGTGAGTCCTGCAACTATTTCCAGAAGGAATCTCTTCACATGTTTCCAGGAAATGGAATTTAGATGGATAAAATACTTGATACAAATTCGGCAAAAGTTGTGTCACCTTCCATTTGTAAATGCATACTAATTGCACTTAATACTTTCATTGGTATTTCAATTGTCCTTCAATTACACTTCAGCTATTCTTCACATTATACTTGTATCTTAAGTATATTTCTTGTCTCAAGATCTTCCATTTCTTTGAGTAATGCTGCAACATTGTATCTCAGCTCGTGGAATTTAGCAATGGGGACCTGGAAATCAAAGGGAAACATAAGAAGACATAAAATAACAAGAAATCCATGACAATCCTAAATCACATGTCCCAAAACTCTACACAAACTGGAATGCCCCTAGGCCTAAAAAGTAATATGAGTGTATGTAAATCTACACAATTACATCAATTAATAAAGATTATTGGATTAGTTCAATAACATCTAAGATCTCATAAATGGAAATATTGATATCAATCCTGGAGAGAATGGATCCAGTGTTCCTTTAATCTTATAATTAATGTTATTGTGCAAAATAAATTCTCACGAAACATGTTGAGTTATATATAAATTGTTGTATTATTGTATATAACTACATGTAGTTATATTACTTGTATAGCATTTTGCAGATTATTGACATCGACATTGTATTGTATTGCATTATATTGGATTATATTGTACATGTATTGTATTGTATGTATTATCTAATGTAAACCTACCACTGTAAATAACAATAAAGCTAAACTAAACTATTAGTTGTATACTCAATATAAGTTGTATTCCCCCGTGGATTTTACATTTGCTGTTTCTTTCAATATAGAGTTTTGTTGTATTTTTATTACATACTTCAGGTTGAAAATAGAAAATGTTATGTAAAATAGGTTTGATAACATATGAATATTTACCTTTAATAAAAATGTCACTGGATATATATTTCACTATATATTTCTTTCAATGTAGGGTTTTTGTTCAATTAAGAGTTTCTTATTTACATCAGGTTAAAAATTGAAATGTTAAATCAAAATAGGTTATGACTATTACGAGGGGTGATCCAAAAGTCTTGGATGCCATACTCTAATTTTGTTGGTTTTTGATAAAATAACTAATATGTGAAGATGATGACGACAGCTGACACATTGAAAATTGGAAATTCTCTTGCATCACGACTGGTGTTAGGTTGTGCACCTGCACCTAAAGTATTTGCCATATTAATAGGTGTGACATGATTTGCGTTTTTAAATACCATTCTGGGTGGCAGGGTCCCCATATTAAAAAAAATATTTAGAAAAGAACCTAAAATAAATTATTTTCTGATGAAAATTATACACATAGTTGCTAAGTTACAGCGGGGTATCCAAGACTTAAGGACCAGCCCTCGTAGATGTAGATCTTGCGTTAATTATTAGTTATTTTGGACTACTTTAGATCTAAAGACCCTTCTACCAGGTAAACCAGGCTAGGAATAGGTTTAGAACAAAACTAGATCATATGGAACAAGACCTGCTTTACATAGCAATATACAATATAGGCTTGGTTATCAAGTTTTTGTAGTAAGGTTAAGATTTTATTTATTTGCTTAATCCTTGATTAACAACATCCTTCGAAGGCCAAGGTAAGGATTACATTATCGGAAGTATTGAGTGAATTGATAACATATTGGCTTTCATAGCAACGAGTCCAGTTGACGTTTGTCAAGAAATATTTGCTCATAGACATTAGAGGCAGTGAAGGCATCATAGTTTACTTAACATTTACTTACTCGATTTGTCAATCATCGGGGGGTAATGCTCTGCCAAATCAATTTATCAGGCTCTTTCTTAAAAATGATTTTCTTTTACTCCATAAGAATATTTAAAATAAAATAAAATGTAAAGTTTTGCAGCAAAATTAATAGCTGATGTCTTATTTATTCAGCAGTAATATTATTTTTATTCAGCAAAATTTCATTTTATGAAATGGGTAAATAAACTTGCGCTCAAGCTAACCTAAATGTAAGTTCATATCCCACTAAACAGTACTCAAATTTTGAGTCACTTACCGGTATAGATAAAAATATTTTTAATTAGATGTTTTTTCTATTTTAGACAAAAAAATAATAAAATAAAACATTATTGCCAAAAGTTTTGCAGCATCTAACTATCATAAGTTTGGTAATTGCAAATGTCATATAAGTAATAGTTTGACAATAAAGTATGTAACTAACTAACTAAAAAAGTAAAAGAAAAATAAGACATACCTCAAAGTTGTGTATTTTGCCATTGCTAAGACACATCTCCATGTTAATAGTGGGTTCTAATACTCGGTTTAAGGAACTGAAAACAGAAAAGGTACTTTTAATATAAATGAGAAATCATGCAAATAATCTGCAGAATCATTGAATTCAGTATATATTATAAAATATATCTTTTCAAATTACAATATGACAAATTATTTTATTTTTTTATTTTTATTATCATATTCATTTAGTATTACATTAACAGTGTTGGCACTTGATACCCATAAAAGGGCATATCAGTGCTAAAATCAAAAGTTGTACAATATAAAAATATATTACAATTTATATGAATTGAATGAAGCAAGAAATACAATTATTGATATCATGCCAGTTCATGTTATAAAATACGACAATATACAAAAATGCCTGCACATAAACAATTCAAAAGTGAAAAATACAAACATAATACAATTGTGGGAGAATAACAGTACATGCTCATGGCTCAGTAACAATTTATTAATGTTTTTTGTAATTGTATTTAAAGGAGTAAAATGATGGTAGAGATTGGAGGGATGTTGGTAGTTTGTTCCATATTATCGTTCCAGAGTATTGAACTGATTTTTTTGTTAAGTTTGATTTAAATTTGCATGGGATAATGTGATGGATTTGTCTCGTGGTACGAGTGTGTCTGAAATTGAAATACTGTTTAAATAAATGGGAAGGAAAATGTGCTGGTTCTTTAACTATATTAAACATGAATTTTGCTTTTTCTAATTTATGAATATCAAAGATAGTTAATATATGTAATTGCTTAAATAGTGGTAAACTTGGGTGAAGTAAATCTAAATTTAAAGATTTAGATTATGAAAAGATTATTGATGGTAAGTGGATATATCTTTTAAAGTGAGACCAATATTTGTACAATTTTTTCATTCTACATTGTGGTCATTCAATATGATCCTTACTATATCACAATGATGATGATCATTATCAAGAGTGAACACAATATCATCAAAATGTATCATTGACCCTCTGGGGCTCAAATATGCTTTTTATTCCTGTATTACCTTCATTACATATAATCAAACTTTCATCACCCAATACCATTGTTAAAAAGATGCACTTTATTCAGTAAAAAATAAAAACAACAAGGGTTACTGGGTTAGCTGATTCAGAGGAATTCAATAATTATTGAATTGCAATATTGTTTATATTGTCTATTGTTTATATTTGCAGTGATGTTGATTCTATGCTTGATAATTGAGTACTTATTTAAACCTCCAACTATCTTGATTACATATTGTCCAATCACAAGGAATACACACCTGGTTGATATGGCAACGTCAAGTCTCCATTGCAGATTGGAAAGTCGAGGTAGAGAAGGTCCATTTTCTGTTGGGTCAATATCACTGTAATATAATGTAATAGACATTTCTCATATATATACATCAACAACTTTACAATGTGTTTTAACTAGTAGAATATACGAACAAGAATAAATCTATGATACATGTATCTGCAGCATTCTATTTTTGATTGCACGGTTATCCCCCCCCCCCTGAGATCGTTGTTGTAAAATGGGTTAAAGAGCCTTCTGAGTCTTTGTGATATTTTTTCTAAATTACATCTTCAACTTCTGCATTCAATCCATCTCCCCATATTGAAGAACATTAATATGCACCAGGAATCTAACAGAATTTTAGTCAACAAAACCTCCTCATCAGCCATTTTGGCATTTTTTGAGAAATGTATTAGTGAATACACATTATCCACATAAAATTGTGTTTAATTTGTACAAGACAAATATATATTTTTGTAAATTGTATCAACCTTTATATCTATGAAATCCCTGTAACAAAAGAAATATTTTAACAGCTTCTCATATGCCACACTGCCATCTATCAATAGAAGATTTATTAACAGATGGATTTTGCATTTTTTGTTAATTTTGTATATAAAATATGAATGACATACCTTGAACTAAAGACTGCAGCAGAGATGTCTGGTATAAATGCAGCAGGAATTCTGAAACAAGATTTCAAATCAACTTTCTATTTTAAATATACGTAAAATATAGATTTCTTAATAATACAAAAGCTTGAGCCTCCCCCTTAAACACTAGAAGATTAAAGTCTACATAGATTTACATTGATATATCTGTAGTCCAAGTGCATGGTCAGCCCTAGTAACTGTAACTGCTTATCAATTACAATATTTTTGTGTTGACAAGAGCATTTAATTATGACTGTACTTGAATTCTACAAATACGTTAGTATAAGATATATTGCCCAAATACCAACAGTAGTTGCAGAAGAACTTTTTGTTAGGGTCTAAAGACATGTAAATGATAACTTTTGAAGTAAATAGTTATCATATCATTAAACCATAAAAAGTTATAATGATTTCTTCAACTCTTAACATTTAGAGATCATCTGTAATATGTAATATAAGAACTTACTTCAACTCTTGTAGATCTTCTTTGAGTATCTTTAAATAAATGATATCATGTATAAGTACATAAATCAATGTAAAGTGAAGCATTTGTCATAAGCATTGGTATGAGGTTATGTGGGTTAACTGATAATTGGCCATTCTTAAATGTTACAGAAAGGTGATAATTTAGACATTTTTCATTTGAAACGGAAAATTAAGTTTTTATGAGAGTATTATTTCCTATTTAACTCAAATTCACTTCACCAATTTCAATATGCCTTGCCAATTTTTGGATTCTAGAAGCACACCCTTATAATGCTATTTCATTAAAATTGCTGACTGTTCAAATATCAGAAAATCTTACAACCATGGATATGTGAAATTGGATTGTTGAATACATGACTGTATGAGGTATGTCTAAAAAATCTTGAAATGTTTGCTCTAATGTCTGATTCATTTGACTTTATGTTTCACCAAAATGAGCCTTATTGAACATATTATTTGTTTTTAGTGAGTCATATGTGTAAAAATAATACAAAATATGATATAAAAATTATTCCTGCCTAACAACCCCCAACCGCGGTGGGTAATTATAGATATTTTGCATCTAAAACAAAAGATGCCCAACATATCAAGTTTGAGCAAAAAAAACACCTACATACTTGTTGTTTAAGTGTCCCATGTGGATGTTTCCGAGCCAGTTTCACAAGGGAATAGAGTCCAGAAAACACAATTGCAAGATTCTCTTCATTGTGTGTCTCATTGACTAGATTTGATAAAATATTACTTCCTTCCTTGCTTTTACCATCTATCACTTCCATAACACCTATAAATGAAAAAACATATTGACACTCAGATATAAAGTATTCAAAATGTACATGTAACAACCTTAATCCACCTTTCAGGAGCAGGAGTGTAACAAACCAGATGAAGACATGAAAGGGAGTGTATATTGTTCAATCCAATGCCCCATGTGAGAATCGGACCCAGCAGGACCTTCCAATTCTAAACCTGATGCTCTACTGCTGAGTCAAAAATAGAGTCCCATCACAAAATATTTGCTCCCGAGACATCCCTACAGATACAACACATGTGAAGTATAGAAACTGACACTGATAACCCTACATCATTTTCAGTTGATCTTTTACTTGTAAATACATGTACAATTGTATATTTCACATATCTACAATCAAATACATGCATTAAATCTTGTAAATTCTTGCAAGAGAAACAAAATGTTACAAATATTAAATGACCCATGTATTATTTTTTTAGGTTATTGTTATTTATTTCCATATTATTCAACACAATTATTTACATAGATCGTGACTCTGGCCGAGGCTATCTATTGGCCCCCCTGTATTGTGATTTTATTATAACTTTACAAGATAGAATATTAATAGAATATAGTCCCTACAAAATTTTGAGCAAGACTGGCCAAGATGCTAGCGGTGAAGGAGGAATCACCCTCTGAACCATGTGAGAGAAGCGAGTGACGGGACTTGAGAGATCACTGAGTCACTTTCACTTTCCTTTATCATTAAATGTAATGCAATTTACATATTCATTTGTACCACAATTAACCATCCAAATGAGTGTGTCAATTCATATTCACACATACAGAACATTTGAGGATCATATTGGATATAGGCAAAAGCTTATAAAAAGGATAACTGATTGAATGTAGACTACAGTACAGGCTACAGTGCATCATCATTGTACATTAATTTGTATTACTGTTTGGAACAAAAATAATGACGCATGGATTTTCTGAAGTGAGGATTTCCCATGTTAAAAATAAGAGAATTTTCAAGAGGTCATACATCAGTGGATGAGAATATAGAAAATGTAAAATATACAAATGCAGAGGGATATGTCTCTGGACAATTTTTGAGACTATAGGGCTTTCAAAACACCATGGTTTGGATATCTACATTTTGTATTTTGTTCCAAAACTGTACCTGAGAGCAACTTTCTGAAAAGTTCTTTCTCCATTTTCTTGCAGTGTTTTGGTAGCAATTTGATCTCATGTGGGATTCTTGGACCGACAAACAATGTTCTGTCTGTGGGTACTGCACCTCCACTGCTCCCCTTGACCTGTACTATTGACATTTTACCAAATCGTCTCAAAATAAAATTTGTTTGGAAATCCACTTCCTACTTCCGGCTGGTAAGTCTCGTTCAAGTTCTCCAAGAAAGTCTCGCTTGCAAGGAAAAAATAAAATATTGAAATTCTGCTTTATTTACAATGTTTTGACTTTTTCGTTCACCAAATCTACATTGATTTTCAGTCTGAAAGACAGATAGTGTAGTGAAGATGCTACTTGGCGAGGATCATACATAGGTTATCAACGATAACAAGGTAAATCAATGGTCTTGATTTCTTCAAATTTTGATCTGAAAAAATTTCGGTGAGAATAAAAAGTGTCAATCAATATGTGTTTATTTATATTTCTCAATGAGACTGAGAGAAAGGCTAAAGTGATTTTAACCCTGCTGCCATTTAAATCGGACCAAAACCAAAATCGAACCCGTCTGGCCAGTTCATCTATTCCCTAGAGCTGACGTTGTGTCGAGATAGATCGATGACATTTCTGATTCATGGACAGGGACAGGGAGTAGATGATTTGATGACTTTGATGAACAAGTGACGTCATAACGAATGAAATCCTACATTATAGTGCTGATATATAATAATAAAGGGTGCGTTATCAAACTAAACAGAGTGCTCCTACCAAAATGAATTTGTCTACATACCCCTGAGACTCTTATCTAATAGATAGAATGCACAAATAAAACGAAAGTTTTACTATTATAGGTGAAAAGTTCCCTCAAAAATTCAAAGTGATTTTACCTGTTAATTCTGTACTTGGTCTGCCATGTTGGCGGAAGTTACACTGAAACGCAAACTCCATTGAACGAAACAAAATCATTAGAAAAAGCCATGGCACACATTGTGCGCATGTGCAGCAAAGTTTAAACCAATCAGATTATTTGATTATTTTGCACACATGAATTATTGCTTCTGAGCACTTACAAGCTTACCAGAATTACCAAACCTGGCAGAGACTACCCTTAGCCTACTTCATTTTAGCAAAATTTCAGCTCAAACTCGTGACAAATGCATTATGCATACGTGCATGGGCTTTCAATCTAATTGAAAGCCCATGATACGTGGTATGAAGCCTTGGAGACACTCATTTTGGTAAATATGATTTACGGTATATACTTTTCTGCAGTTTGTGAGAGTGGGACATTAAATGTTAAAATTCAAGAAAATATGCCAATTATACTACTGATCAATTAATATGTATTAGCAAAGTGTACAGTAAAATTTTAAATGTTTGTGAGTACTTTGAATTTAAAAAATAAGCAAGCAAATGACCAAATTGAAACAGTTTATGTAAAAATAGAAACATTTATATTTATCCTAACTTTAGTTTTTTGTAGTTTAGCTATCATATCTGTCCTCTTATATTTTGATACTTCTCTGCCGGCATGTTATTTTCAGAAAAATTAACATGGCTGAAACCCCCTAAATTACAAAAGGCCACAGCTTTGCTGCACAATATACATTACTATCTGAAATAAACAAAAGTTAGGATAAATATAAATGTTTCTATTTTTACATACACTATTTCAATTTGGTCATTTGATTGCTTATTTTTTAAATTCAAACTATTCACAAACATTTAATTTAAAATTTTACTATAGACAGGCATTTTTGATCAGTAAAATGATACAATATTTGCAATCTACTCTAAATTGCCTTTCATTAATGAGTGCTAATCATTAAACGTATATTTAGAAAGATCTCAAAATTTTCACAAATTCCTATTTTCTTGATTCCCCCCCCCCCCCCCAAACATGGCCCTTGGGGGTCAGGGTCAAAAACACGGAATATATGTGAGATAGATGTTGTAAATATACTACCAACAATACATTTAAACAATGATATTTATTACAATGGTTTTACCACAAGTGATACATGTCAGTGATATCCCCGGCATTAAAGCAAGTGGGCGCAGCACCCACCTGAGATTTTAAAAACAGGCTTGCACCAGCTGAAAATTCATTTGCACCCACTGGAAAATGAGGAAAATCATAAAAAGAGGCATATTTTGACCAATTTTGGTCTGAATTGTTTAAACGAGTATTTTGCACCCACCTATTGAAACATCCTGTGGAGAACACTGCATGTAAATACTGCACATGTAAGATAAGGTCTTGTAAATCACAGAATGCTGATTAACGTTACTAAAGTCATTTCATCTATTTTCAGCATTGTGATAATACAACATGGCAATGTGTCGTAACATGAGATCTTCTATCAGATTAACTTCAACTTTATTTCGCAACATCGACTCTAGCTTAGCTTGTTCAGGTGAGTTATTCATAAAGATATTATAATTTGAACATACATGTAAATATTTTGCAAACAAAGCTTTATTCAAACCAACTCCTCCCAGTTAGGTAACTGCAAGTTAAGATTGATAAACTTTTAGAGCAGACTAATCTAGGATTTTGCAATTTTATGCAAGTGAAATTTTGAGAATTTTGTGGGAGAAATTCAAATTTCAAAGATTCTTTAAATCCGCCTGCCACTTCTGTCTTCAGCCAGCTAAAAGTGTAATGTAAATAATCTTTATCTCAAGAAAATAAATTACATTCACTGACAGTACAAGCCCAATGAATTTAGGCAAGTAATGCAAGCGCGGTATAAATTTGCAGTTCCCACACATCCACAGTTTAAATCCACTGGATCCCCTTTATGGTCCATATATCAAGCTACAGTATAACCTATTTAGGAACACTTTTGGTACCTCAAAAAAGTGTTTCACTTGGGAGTTGTTCTACTGAGGTTCATTTAACATTAAGTCGGATTATCTGTGCCTCTCAATTGTTCCACTAACAGAAATTTTCCTCTTCTAGGTGTTCAACCTTACAGGTTTAACTGTGCCTATTATCAGCCTAATTTGCTAAAACAGGCTTTGCTCACTTTGATAACACTTGTTCTTTTGTCATCATTTTTCCAGAATGTCGAAGATTGTTTCTCACAACAGCATCAAAGCCCCAGTATAGATCAAAATATAGACCCCTCATTGCCGCACAACTTGCTCGAAGTTTATGCTCAAAAAAGCCTTCCAATGAAGATATTTCTCCCTCTGGAGAGAAGAATAACAGTGTTGCAGAAAAGAAGAATGGTTCTCCAGAAAATCTAACTTCAGATGGCAGAGATACCATTGTAAAAGGTGTGTTTTATTACGAGCAGTTAATGACAACATCAGATATATTTTTTTTAATTATGTTTGGATTGTTTATTCGTGGTTTTAAGCAACGCAGGCTTACCTTGTATTCGCGAATGCAACTAACGCATGTCGGCTACCGGATTAATATACTATTTTATGGGCAAGTCATTTAAATATAAATAGTGCCTCTCACAATTCTATTCATATATTAATGAGTTGGTCATTAAATTGTAGCCGACTGGCGTTAGTTGCATTCGCGAATATAAGCTAAGACTATGTCAGTTTCCTTCTTTGACCTATTTATTTAAATACACAAAGTAAACTGTTTATATCCCTTCACGTTTTCACATGTCTCTCGCATCAAAGAGCTGTTACTGGTGTAATGACCCTCGATAGTCAGTCAATGCTACAGCCTAGCAGTAGATGCTAGCCCCTTTGGCTCGAGCCGTAGAGCATCAGACTTTGGAGTGAATGGTCTTGGGTTCAATTCCCGCATAGGACATAGAATTTAACACACTCCCTTTCATGTCGAGTACCTGGCTTGTTACACTACAGTTTCCCGGACGAGCGTGCCCAGGGTTGTTACACTAGCATTTACCAACTAAAGTTAATTTAATATTCCTATTAATTTTTCAGTTATTCCACGGATGACAAAGGGGCGGAAGAAAATTGATCCTGATGAAGAATACACTGGAAATATATATGTGCCTCCAGTCAGAGCTATGCAGGAATACTTACTGGAATCAAGGTAAATACATGGAATAAACACATGGGAAGTTTTCCTCAGACAAAACATTATGAATTTATGCAAATGACTTTTAAGTGGTATTGTTATGTCCCAGTCCCGGAGGGATATAGGGAACGCCTCCATCCGTCTGTCCGTCCGTACGTACATCTAGGCAATAACTCAAATACTGTTGGTCCGATTTTGTTCATATTTTGTACACATATACCGTATGGAGATGGAAGTCCTGCTCGAAAGCTGATTTTCAAAATGGTGGCCATTTTAGTGCCAATTTTACAGTAATCTGTAACAAATGGGATGTGGTGATATAATGCATGTTAATGCCTTATTTTGTTTGCAGTGATCTAGATGGTATTGAGAAGAAAGTGAGGAGAAGTCCATTTCCAAACTCAAAGACTGTTATTGTGTATAGAAGGTCAGACATTGAGAAAAAGTGAGTATTTGGTGGTACTTTCAAATCTACAAATAACATATATACAATGCCTTAGTCGCATTGGAGCTAGGCAACTGTACTGCAACCATAGCTTCTCAAAATCAAGAGAAGTATGCAGTAAACAAATACTGGATGACCATGAGGTGGATATGCCAGAATACCTACTAGGCGAGGCGAAGCCGAGCCTAGTATTTTTTTCTAGGGATGGTTGGAGATCTTGTTGCTTCAATACTGGATAGAACGAGATCTTGCTGCCACGTATGGCAATAGACCCTGCAGCTCTTAACCAATCAGATTTGAGTATTTTAATGAGGTGCTTTATAACATAAAATATTGGGATGAGCAGTACGATGTAGATTTTCTATATTGAATTTGTGAAGCTACAGCCACCGTAGAGCAAATGTGATTGAGGCTTAAGCAATGCTTAAACCAGCATTGGTCATACTGATTAATCCATAATTATTTTAAGCCAAAAAATATATTATTTGTTATGACTGAAGTGATGCAGTATTTAGTTGTCAAGACATGTTCTGAACATTTGAACTTTTCACTTTCTCTCTATATTGAGTCAATCCAGCTTTTTCCATGTCTTGTACCTCTATTTATAACAAGGGTATGTTCTTTGTCTTGACATTTGTTTAATTTTTGTAATGTGGCCATGTTGCATGGATATTATTGAGCATTATGAACCAGTGCTAAAAACCAAGAATCTATACTGTATAAGTGGTCATTTTGCCCAATCATTTAATTTCCCTATTGCCTAATGTTTGTCAGGTTGGGAAAATTGAATGTCGTAAATACTATCTTCATAACGATATCCAATGGGAAGTTTCTGGTCATTAGAAAATTAAAATTAGGAAAATTATAAAAGCCCATTCGGCAAATTAGCCACTCGGATTAAATACCACAAAATACAGTACTTCTCGCCAGTATGACCAAAAATTATTATTTTCTAGAGCTGAAGAAATCTGGGGGAGTAAAGAAAAACTGGAGAAAGAAAAACAAAAAAGAGAGAACAGGCAAAAAATAGATGCCATAAGTAAGTAAATTACCCAGGTGCAAGTATTGGTTTAACCATTAGCCATGGCTTACTCAGGTCTAAAACATGACAGGCATGCAATAGTTTATATGTAACCTTAATCGGTTTGATAATTGAAGCATTTGATATGTGTTCACTGTTCAGTAAAAGAAATTTCATAAATTGGATCAATCTGCTCAATACAAGGAAAGATATTTCACCTTGCTTGATTATGTGACAATGGGGTCTTAATCGGGAATCTACCTGATCTAGAAAACACATTCTCAAAGAAAATTAAAATTTCAAAGTTGATAACAATTTCCGTAACATTTTATTAAATTTTAATTTTATTTTTCATGAAACTTTTATTGAAAATGATAAAACATTTAAACATCAGCTAGTGCCTCATGAAATACAGAAAATAATTTCTGTATTTCGCTCAAATCATTGAACGACTTCTAACCTTTCCCTCAGTATAATATTTCCCTTTCCCTTTGGGCTGCGGGAAACATACTGAGGGAAAGATGAACATATATTCACCACTTATGTAGAATAGAATGGAATATTTGCATATTATTCACTGGGATGTAATAAGATTATGATATAAATGGTGTTATTCATCTAATAGTAATAATATCCTGGTATAGAATATTGTTGATTTCATTTACAGGAGATAAAATATTACATAAAACGTTTGGAAGACTTAGACACAGAGAAATTAAGCCTAAAGAAGAGCCATTCATTTTTGTGCCTGGCAATGAACCTCAGAATGTGAGTAGTAACACTGAGCATCCTATTACTGTACTAAAGGATAAAATGATTTCCATATCAATTGCCATGTTATTTTCCATATGTATGCAAAATTATCAAGTCACTAATTTTAAACAAACTTTTGTATCAACAGAAAACACCGCAAAAAATTTGATGTGAATGTCATTGAGAGTAAAATTTGAAGTTCAAACACTGCTTAAAGTGTTCACTTAGAGAGGTTCTCGCTTTTAAAAGTCTGATTGATATTTTGACCCGCCCAATAATGTTAAATATAGACAGATGCTCATATTCACATATTTCCGTGTATATGTATAACTTCACCTTTGCTCTATTGCAGCCAAAGAAGATATTCCAGCATGGTACTGGGCAGGTTGTCATGTGGGCAGTCAGTATGTAAGTTTCAACTAGATTCCTAAATAAATGTATTCTTCAGTAGTTCACTGTTCATTTATTTATTTACTTAAGGAATGAAGACCAAGATTCTATAATATATGACAGAAAATCTTATTCTGTTCATTGTTAAAAGACCGAAATCTGAAGTCATATTTTTTCCATAAATCAAAGAATTGAGGCCTTCATCACGATTTTATATGATATACAAACCAGAAAAAACTATTTGCATTCCATACTCTATAATAGACCGGTATTAAATCACTTTTGATGTCACATATCATATTCAAATATGTTTATTATATCTAGGCATAAACTAGTAAAGTTATAGAATATCCCCTGCATCATGAGCATGCCTTTTAGATATGTAAAGGACGATTCTCGGTTTGGAGAACAGTCTTCTGGGCTAATAATTTTTTCATGAAAAATATAGAAATATTACCCAAATTAAATTATGAATATTCAAAAGAGGACATTTAAATCTACAAGATGTAAAAATAACAAATTGGCCTGAAGCAGGGATAACGCTCAATTAGACCGATTCAATAAAATACAAGTCTCGATTTGGGGAAAGAAGTTCATCAGTGTACTGCGCTAATATTTTTTTGTGAAACATCTAGATATATTACCCAAACTAAATTATGACTATTCAAAAGAAGACACTCAAATCTATGTTATGTAAAAAAATCAAATTTGTCCGAAGCAGGGATAATGCTCATTTCGATTGATGAACTTCGTTCTCCAAACCGAGAATCGTCCTTTGATCACTTTATCAAAGTATTTTATGTTTGTATTTTAGATATACTGGATACATTGACCAATAGCTTGATTGAGTATTTCATGTTTTTTTATCTTAAAAACGCTAGTTTCATGTTGCAGATTTAACTGAATATTTTATGTTTACATTTTAGAAATGCTGGTAACTTTGTACTGAAGACAATAGCATGGTTGTACACAGGGTCTCACAGCATGTTTGCTGAAGCTATACATTCTGCAGCAGACACCATAAACCAGGTGAGTATATAGAGCTTATTTCAGAAGTGGAGATTTTGCTTCTTTGGTTCTTGTCTACTATGTTCTCTGTTTGCTGTTCTTCCTTTATACGCAAATCTTTGACTCCCAGGGGGTTCACTGTATTATAAACCTTGATGAGGATCCTTGGCTCACGTGGGGCACATGGCAATGGACCCAAATTTTAGGATCTGGTATGAGAATGTCCCCCCCCAATTATGACGTTTTAGGTATTTTAATGATCGGACTTTTCCACTTGTGTCATAGCATGGTATATTAGTCTATACAATAATAAATCTACTGAATCATACTACACTTTCATACCTGCTAACATTGATAAGTTGTGGTAAAGAAAAAAATATGTAACTTGTAATAAAACCATTAATTGTTTAATTGACACTGAGACTTTATATATGTCTGATTAACATAAACCACCTTGAATTCCTATATTTTATTCTACATGTAACTACCAGTTAGCCTTGATTCGTTTTGGCGCTCACTTTATTATAATCATGAAATATTTTGATTTCCAGTTAATTTTAGCATATGGAATTAAAGAATCTATAAAAGAACCGGACAAGATTCATCCGTAAGTATTAAAGTACATATACAATGACCTATCCCCTCACAATCACTCTTTCCTTTTGACTTTCTTATGTTAATACAATGTACAGTAGTACCATATATACTATATGAATCCTCTCACCATATTAATCGTGTATTAAAAGTTGCAAGACCAGAACATGAAATAGACAAATAGGTCCGTTGTTTGCTCTGTATTGTAACACTTTTCCAGTCTTTTCCCTTTGGCACTTGTGCAAAAAATTATCTAAGCAATTACTCCTATATTTAAGACCTATGTCATAGTCAACCATCAAAAGAATTAAGAAACTAGATGGATCAACTTGCTCTCATTAACATGCGTGTGCTCATCTTTAAGTTCTCGCTTTTAAAGCGAACTATACATTGTTCTAACACGACTCTAATCCCAGCCTCTCACTGTACTGTAGTTAATTCTTTTTCTGTTGTAGTTATGGCTATACCAACTTTCGATATGTATCCTCCCTTATAAGTGGTGTTGGAATATTCTGTATAGGAGCAGGTCTGTCTTGGTATCATGGTATCCAAGGTCTACTGCACCCTGGGCAACCAGAGTCATTACATTGGGTAAGTGAATAGGAACCTTTACTGTTGGAATATTCTGTATAGGAGCAAGTCTGTCTTGGTATCATGGTATCCAAGGTCTACTGCACCCTGGGCAGCCAGAGCCATTACATTGGGTAAGTGAATAGGAACCTTTACTGTTGGAATATTCTGTATAGGAGCAAGTCTGTCTTGGTATCATGGTATCCAAGGTCTTCTGCACCCTGGGCAACCAGAGTCATTACATTGGGTAAGTGAATAGGAACCTTTACTGTTGGAATATTCTGTATAAGAGCAGGTCTGTCTTGGTATCATGGTATCCAGGGTCTTCTGCACCCTGGGCAGTCAGAGCCATTACATTGGGTAAGTGAATTAGGTACCTTTACCTGTACTACATTAAGTTATAAAAATAATTCAATGTACATGCACAGTCCAAGTGTCTAAGAAATCCTTAGATGTAGGACTAACCATCATATGATATGAATGGAACATACAGTCTCACACAAGTAGTATGCTTAAGTCAAAGTAAAAAGTCACACTGAAAATGTTGCATTATAACACAATTTGCTATTAAGTAATACTTTATGCATTTGAACATTCTAATGTGTTCATGTATTTCTAGGGTCTATTGTTGCTGGGTGGTACCATGCTCACAGAGGGGGCTACCTTCATCATGGCAATCAGTCAATTACGCAAAGATTCTAAAATTCAGGGCAAATCATTTTGGCAATATGGTAAGTAGGTATTTTTATTCTGACAACTCATAAATTGACAAAGTCGGTATATCTGAGCTATTTTTTAACTATCAGTAGAATGACTTTTCTTCAAAGGATTTTGCTAAATCATATCACATATTTCTTGAAATATGAAAGAACTTTCAATGGCTTATAGACCAGTCATGGGGGTAGCGCTATTTTTCTAAGTAGTACTCCATCACGGGATAAAGAGTTGAGCGAAGCAAAGAAACGAGGAATAGGGGGGGGGATGAAGGTTGTATTTGGAGCGAATTTGCAACCATCTGGTACGCCTGTGCATACCGGGGGCTACCCGGCTACGCCTATGCCAGTTAATGTAGGACTCCTGGATCAATTTTGTTTTTTCAGTCAGGAGAGGTGAGGACCCATCATCCAATGTTGTCCTGTTAGAGGACTTTGCAGCAATATTGGGTGTGGGAATAGCAGGCAGCTGCATGGCAATCTCCCACTTTACACTTAATCCCATCCCTGATGCCATAGGCTCTCTTATGATAGGCTGTGTATTGGCCAGTGTGGCTGCATTCATTATACATACCAATACAACTGCACTGGTTGGCAGGTACGTTAGGCCTACATCAAGTGGCTATTCTTTATATTGGTTGAATACTTTGTCATACATGTATACAGTGTATGCAAAAATAAAAGTAAATACTGGTATTTTCTTAATTCTTGGACACTCAAAATATTAATTGAATCATTTTCAATCTAGGCCAAAGGTAGAATAAATCAGATTATGAAATCCTTTTTCTCTTTCTGTTTTAATCAAAAATAATTGTGTGTATTCTAACAAAATATATGTAAGTAGTACATTGTAACATCATAAGAACTTTGTTTATTTTCTATAGGTCTATACCAGTGGATAAACAAATCAGCATCAGTGATGAACTAGAAAGGGACAGGATGATAAGGTATTACATGTTTTAGTCATTAATACTATTTATTTCAAATATTCATGAGTAAATTCCTATCATATTCACTGTTATTGCCCTCAATCTGGAATTTGTATTGCCGCTTTTAGTGTACTTAAAAGTTTCTAAAGGTGTTCCACTTCAAAGACGGGTTTTACTCTACATATATTTGAAGGAGGCCTTAGTCCTAAACTATGATAATTCTATTCCAGGGCCCTTCATGATGTCAAAGCCACTGATATGGGAGGCTCATTTGTGCGCTTTAAAGCTGAGGTTGACTTTGATGGTAAAGAAATCACAAGGTCATATTTAAACAGCCAAGACTTGGATGTCTTGCTAACGGTACAAACATCACACATTACCAATTTTTCTTTAATTATGTCACTACCACAAGTGTTATATTTCCAACTTTTTGCAAACGATGTTCAGCTTTCAGCGTTTGGCATTAGCAGTCGGCGTTTAGTGTCTAACAAATGGCATGAGAAATCACAGTTATTTCGTCTGGTTTTGTGTTAATTAGTATATATTGTACAAACTATTTGTAGGAGATTATGATGATTCAGACCAATGAGCAGGTAGAAGCTTTCATGCTCCTACACGGTGAGAATGTCATTGATATGTTAGGCTCAGAGATAGACCGTATAGAGAGAAATATGAAGGTAGGTTTAGGTTATAAGATATACACAGTCTGTCCACTTGTCAGATATGACATACATGTACATGATTATATTCCAGGTGTTATTTATCCCAAATCCATATAAGTTTGAGATACACTATCATATTTATTTCCGTGTATCATGATTGCATTATATAGATATAGCCTTAAATGCCCTTATTAAATTTATTTCTTACAGAGTGATTTTGAAAAACATGATTTGTTAATTGAGTTACTTATTAGATATTTTGCTATACTTTCAGAAAAAACACCCAGAAGTAAGGCATGTGGATTTGGAAGTATTGTAATCCCACAATTGTATCCTTCAATGCTCATCACTGATTGGATAAAAACTGGTTTTTTTGTTAAAAACTGATTGCTGATTGGACAAAGATTGGTACAACTTGTCCAGAGATCTTATAATGTCTGCATAATATCCACTCATTCAGCAGGACAAAATGTGTTCGTGTGATAAGTACCAAAAAAGTAAGACCTGGATCTAGGATCTAATGATCGCCAAAATATTCAATAGTGTTTGCTGATTGGACAAAGGTTTAACTACAAGAGAGATGTAGTTGTGTTTGCTGTTTCTTTCCAAAAGCAGATCTACATGTATGAGGTGTAAAAATGATACCTACAAAATCCATGTAATCTGTCTAATAGAATTGTTTGTATGTAAAGGTTACACTGTGTATGTGGTACGTGTGTACCTTGAATATGTCCTAGAATCTTTGTACACTGAGTCTTGATTCCAATATGCAGTGGATCAGTTGACAGAAGACATGCAGTTGACAGAAGACATCCTACATGTCCTAGTGGACATGTAGGATGTCCACTAGGAAATTGCGCTTACACATTCTTGACTATTTTTACACAAAAAATCTTGAATTGTTGTTCAATGGCTTTGCCAATAGGGTACCTGTTTAGTTTACTTGTGCAGTTTATGTCTATATAAATGCTTAAAAAGCAGACAAGAAGTTTTGATTTTAATTTCACAAAAGCTTTATTCATTTTTCATGTTTTTTTTCATGAATGCTCTATCCAATTATGATTATGGATAAGAAAATGTTGGAACCATATTTTAGTACATATAATGTTTCTGACATAATATGTAAACATCACCAAGATAATTTAGGATATTTCATTTTACTGTATACTAGTTAGATAAACAATAATGTTTATTTCGATAAAGAATGTGATGTTCAACTTCCAATGATGCAGTGTTGAATGAGTGATAAACCAAATGCACCGTGTCCAATTTTGGGAAAATAAACTTACAAAGTAGGCTATGTCATAAATTATGAAAATATGTAATCTGTTGAGGAAATAAAGATTATTTTCCAAACGAAAAATTGAATCAGTGTCGTTCTGGCATGTTTAAATCCATCATATGTTTGGCGAGCTACTCAGAGTATACAACCGTTATTTGCGCCCATGTAGACATGGCTGTACAGGCGTAAAATTGCAGCTGTATGGACGTAAATTACGCCTGTGTAGCCAACACATACTGTAGATGAGTAAATTAATTAATTAAATTAATTAATCTGGCTGGTCTATCTAATGAATGCACGCGCAAACAACGTCTGTATACTTTGGGTAGCTCCGCTTACAATACCATCAGGCCACATTGCACTGTGCGTGCCTGATCATGAACGCATAACCCAATACTTTAACGGACTTGAGAATGTCCATTGATGATCCTCCCAGATTTTGTGACCTCGTCGCTTCCAACTGAACATCTGGTATACATGTACATCTGCTATTGTTAACGAATGATAATTTTGAGTAATACTATAAGAACTTAACATTGTATGCGTAATGCTAAAATATTCTCCTTATATGGAGTTCAAATTACAAATAAAAGTGATAGGCAACTAAATGTCATGTTGCAATATAACGCAAAATGGCGATAAAACGTGTTTTTCTACAAAGGAATGGCATCGCTAAGGATCTCTTGATGTTTGTGATTGAAACGTTCACATTGCTCTGAGGTAAACATGGATGCCCAGTCTCCAGTGATACCTGGAAGAGAACATAAAACAATGCGGATTATTTGATCCGAGGGAATAAATCTAGCATGTGAGAATTACTCGTAAATGTAAGAGCCATAGCCTTCATGTAACAAGTATAAACAAGGCGATAACATGCAAAATGTCACAACCTGCCATTTGTTACAGACGCCACTTGTGGTGGTGACATAAAATTTGTCAAGGCAAATATGTGTTTTAGACATGTTAGATAAGTTTTGGTGCCCCTTATGCAAGATTACGCTCATGAAAGTGATCGCTCTTGTCAGTTTTCACCGTACCCTCTTTTGTCGTATTTGATTAAACTTAGCATGAGCCTTTAACATTACTTACTAGTATTACGCAATCTCGATGAAATATTCAAATAAAACTAACGTACCTAGCCTGTACATGGTTCCTTCGACCTGATCCTTGGCAAATTGCTGATAAAACTCATCACGTTTCTTCATACATTTAAATGACGTCTTCTCGGCAACTTCGCGAATTTCAGCTTCTGTTTTTTGAAGCTCCAGGAATGACGAGATTCTGGCGATGGTTCCGACTGGATCCTTGAGAGAAATGCAAATATGTATGAATGCTTTACAATGGGCCATTTTCTATGAACTTTAGAATGGATGCAAAGCCGTGTTTACCTTCTTAAAGTCTTCATAGCTAATTGCTAACATAAATTCACTGTTTACTCGGCACTTCTTCATCCATCCATCAACATGCTTGAACCACGACCCATATGGCACTGGAAACGCACATTAATGAGATACAATACGAACAAGTAATCAATAGACAGGTGTAAAAGGGTAGGAGGTCCTATTAATTTATGGTCCTACTCTCCATTGATTTATATGGTGATCCTTTGTGCTCTTCCCTTATTATCTTATGCACAATCAGGGCCTTTAAAAGGGGGGACCATAATCCCTGGGGGACCATAATTTCTTTCACACCGGCCGTCATAAAAGAACTTTAATTTCCTGACGTTCTCTTCACGACTAGTTTCGATCGTTGGTTTAGTTTCTTGATTAAATTCGTATTTTTGTGTTTCTTATATATTGCCTCTTGATCATTTATTCATCGACATGTTCAACAAAATCAATAAGGCTGTTTTGACGGTTGGTCATGTAGTATTGTCTGAGTATGTAACTATACTCCTCAAAAAAAGTTAAGGACCTCATAGGTTTACATGTTAACCCCCATATTTTGTTTAACCCTGTCCTGAAGTGACCAGGGTTAAAAGGGAAACAGGCTACAGTGAAGTTGCAAATGGAGGACGTATACTTATTTCTAAAGGTGAAAATACGAGAGTACGTAGAGTTTACAAGCTGACATAACTTCCAGATGTTCTACTATATAAATTTTTGGTGTATTATTACAAGAAAAGACCTATAGACAAAGACAGAGTCGAGAATACCCGCTTTATTTGCATCTTCACTGTGGCCTGTATCCCTTGTAAACGTGGTGACTCCGATGGTGACATGGTAGGTAGAGTGTATTTGATATACATTTAGTCCATGTCTTCACGGATGAACAACTTGATTACTTACAGATTCCATCGAGGAAGTTTGGTAAGAAGCCATTCCACGTCCCTGAGTATTGATATGAAGCAACCTGAGTTATATGTTTGTATAAGCTAACTGCTACGTCGCGTCCGTCCCGATAGAGATAGATCACTTTGTTCTTTTGCCTAAAATCAACAAGGGATTGGTTGCATGCATGTCATGTAACATGGGAAGCCACCGATGTACCGCGACCCAAGACGTTTATATCACGTTTGTGGTACTTTTTAACCAATCAAATTCATTGAAGTCACGTGTGCGGTACTTTTTAACCAATCAAATTCAATGAAGTCACGTTGGTGGTACTTTTAACCAATTGAATTCCTTGAAACATCTTCGACAATCTTCGGCTGCGGTACAACATCCTCGTGATCCATTGTGATATCGATAGGATTCCACCGATAAATATTTTTAATAAAACTTATGACCTCATTAAGTATCAAACCTGAAAACGTCTTGGGGAAAGTGATCGCTATAATGCATATGAGATCTCATTATTCTTGGAGATGGAAGCTTTTCTGCAGTTAGGTTGTGGCCGTCTATCATGTAAGGCTCTTCCTCAAATTTATCACTCATTCGTTCATGTAGCAGCAACCAACATATGTTTGTCACCCAGTGATTACCTGGCGTTTCAAATACATACTATTATATATGATGTCCTTCAGGCTGCCGTTTTAGGTGCCATTCTATTTTGCCTAACATTATTGATTAAAATTATTGACTTTTAACAAGCTATAGGAAATGATTAGGAATAATGTCAACTGAAAGAATTGTTAATAATGTATCAAAGTCAGATAGATACTTTATAATGGGCGACGTGAATGACGCTTCCACTATTTTACCACTAAACTGATTCAGCCGGTTATGTAAAAAATCCATATGACATTATTAAGTATATACCTGATCGAGGATATGATATCAACCATATATCATCTGGCCTGGTTTGAAACTGTTTTAAATCTTCGTGTAGTGTAGGTCGTATCCAAGTAGGGGCGTACATATACCCATCAATCACACGTATAGGTAGAGTATTCCCTGAAATAATGTACGGTACTGTAGTAATCCATTAGGTGTTCAGATAGCCCACAAGTGTAAGTACTATGCACTTCGACGTGAAAAACTTAGCAATAGTTGGAGCCTGAGGCCCGGGTATACTGTCATTAATAAAAAAATCAGTCTTATTCTTATCCATTAAGCTTATAAAAATCAGTCAACTCAGTACACTAGCGAACATATTCCTGGGCCTCAGGTTGGAGCAGTATATTGTCAGGAGTTGCCTTACAGGTTGGATACTTAGAGAAATGGTCAATGAATGTTAGTGCATATTTGTGACCATCCTCATCTGGCTGGCATCGCCACTTGATATCTCAAATTACCAAACCAGATGAGTCGAGGAAACATAGCGCCAAATCAACATACCCGGCAGCTCCACCAAATCATATTCTATTGACAAACTCAGTAATTTTGAATCGAATCGAATTAACTTTTGTTTCCTTTAAACCTTCATTTAAGTTAACAATGAATATTAATGATCGAATTGGTGATAAACAAATCAAACTTTTGTTTCCTTTAAACCTTCGTTTAAGTTAACAATGAATATTAATGATCGAATTGGTGATAAACAAATCAAACTTTTGTTTCCTTTAAACCTTCGTTTAAGTTAACAATGAATATTAATGATCCAATGGGTGATGAAATCAGAGATATAAATAAGGGAAGATAATATTTCCCCTTGGTAGTACTTTCTCATCAATCTATCGATTCGTTATCATTATTGCTTTCAAAATAAAATAATCTGAGAACAAGTGTGAAAAATATTATCATTGCAACAACAGACAGATTGATCAGACTCATCCGTTGTGATGCCCATGTAGAACTTTGAACTATAGATAAAAGACGACTACATATATACATTATTTGGACACTATTAGAGCCCTGAACTGGTTGAGCTAGTACATGTAGTAATAGAACTCGCATGATTGAAGGATCTACCATGCATATAGAGTTTTATGATACGCCATGAAATGCTTACCCTCGGCGTCCTTGAATATTTTGGGATAAGGCTTATATATTGTTGGACCCACTCTCTCAGTGATGTCAACGTCGGTATTGTTACATCCAATAGCATCCTTTACATCGACAGGCTTTTCCAAGTTTTTATCAGATGTTTTGTCCATACTTGTAATTGAAGACCATAAAATCAATTGACTATACTTTGTCCTTCAATTATACTGCTTAGTCTATTCTGTGCATGGATCGTAACCCCGGGCTCTTAAAACACGTTGCTATTCATGCTATGCAAAGTTTTTCTCTCTGATACTATCAAACTTGTATATACAGCATCACCTATAATTATGCAGATTTAAGGTTAAATGGATTAAAGTTACTGTGAGCTGCCTTTAAAAACAGAGACATATAAAAAAGAGCTCTGCTTTCAATCTATTGAATGCCCATGGTCTCTGGTTTAGATAACAAACATTAACACTTTTTAAGAATTCTTTTATGTACAATGGCACAATACTGTTGTTTTTCATTCAATTGACCTTCGTTTACCTGAGCAACTTGAAAGCGAATTATTTTGTATCATGACACATCACACGACTTTTATTTCTTGAGACTTCAGTTCTAATTAATTCTCCACATCATTTATGTCACTTTAGGAGTATCGCTGTTTCTCGGCAATACTAAGATCGAAAATTCTCGTTGTGTTAATGCACCCGTTCAACGAGGTTTGTTGATTGATAAAGCCTGATTGATAAGCAAAGTTCTGGACCTTGATCCGTGTTTAATCCGAACGTTAGTGTACACTGCAGAACATGTTAAACGTCTGTGGGGATAGTTGTTAATCAAACTTCAATTTACTACAATATACATGTACAGTACTATATTTACATCACTCCCGATGGTCCTAAGGACACTTTGGGTTTGAGTGAGGATAAGTTTTCTTGTTATGAAATTACTACGACACCGCCATTAACATTTAATCTGGTTGTAAAATGAAGTACAGGTATTTTGAAAAATGCGTGATGCAGGATAATATCGAACAGTTCATTTTAGGTTGCGTTCGCTATTTGCTACATTACCCATTTCCCGCTGGCGAATCGTGTGGTCAAACTTCATAAATGTATTTTGTATTGTAATAGAAAATAAATACTTTCTACAACCTCGTTAATTGTTAAAGAGAATTTGGACATAAAAATGGATATACAGTAAGCCTAACATTTGGCCCTTTAATTTTCTCCAACAATGTAGATCAATTTCAATCAATATGCATGTCTTTTCATTAGTGTAAAAAGATGTTCGCTTACTTAATTCTCTATAGTTTGTCTTAAAAATTACTAAAACAAGGCATGAACGTGCAAAATGTCACCACCTGCCAGACGCCAAGCGCCGAACACCAACTGCCGTACACCGTCAATAAAAGACTTCGAGACTATAACATTATGTCACCACTTCGCAACTTTGAATTGATTGGCCGGGAATGTAGATCTTTATTTTGAAAGTCAGTGTCATTGCTAATTGACATAAGTGTATGCATTAAAAGTCCGAACCGGCTTAGCCTAGTCTTTCTCAACGAGAGTTCGGGTTTTTATCGTATAATTTGCCTAGATTACCCTGACCTTGGCCTCGTTTGCGTATCGAAAGCAATGTAGTAGCGAGATTGAATTATTAAATTATTTTGCATAAGATAATAAGATATGGGATCTGCTGATAAATACTCACATTATCTTCCTTGCATTTGATTTTTATACAAGTATACTAAGTAAAGAGTTTCTCCGAGAATGAAGGAACGAAAATCCTATTATTGTTAAATTAAATTGATACTACATCTCTTGAGCTCCTCCTTAAAAACAAGGTCATGACGCACCATAATATCAAACGTTTTATTCAAGCTACACGTTCGCTTTTGAACAGAACACGCTTTGGCTTAGAAATAACTTGTACGTGAACATGTATTTTAATGACGTGTTGGTTTTCCCCGTGACATAATAATTAATACGACAGGTAAATGCTACAAAGAAAAAAACGAATACCTAGATGCCCGTAATTAATTATTAATTCACTGGGAAAACCAACACGTCAATAATACATGTTCACGTTCAAGTTATGTCTAAACCAAAGCGTGTCTTTGTTACCTATACCTTGACTCACAAGCTCCCAAATAACTGATGATTAATTCCTTGGTGTAAAATTTTAATGACTGGTTTACTGTTGGTGTCAATGACGATGATAATATGGGCTGGCGCATCTACGACCAGGCAACTACAGTAAGTCCCCGGTAGTTTCAACTTTGAGATTTTTTACTTTTTTGCAATGAGCATGTGGATATATCAAGAGGAATTCAAGAATAAGCTACGTGGAATTAGGAAGATGGTTCTATTTCCGAGACGGTTAGATAGACATCATGATACATTTGAAGAACCTCTTAGATTTAAACCGAACTAAAACATGTCAATTGGGTGATGGTTTCAAGGCATGTTTTCGAGAATATTCCCATTTTTGTCCCCTGAATAGGGTCATTCAAGCTGTGACAATAGGATGTACATGTAGATATTGAACAGACACAACAATGAATAATTGTAAAACACACAAAGTTGTTCTTTATTCAGGGAGTACTGCACAATAACATTGAACTATGTTGTAATGTTACAATCAACAATTAAGATTATTTAGTAGAAAATGTGTAAAGGATGCCGGATACTATAAACGGTAGGCTATACGGTAGAAGTTTCAAAAAATAGAATAGAATTAAAACTACAAATGTCCAGTCACATTTGATCTACGGAAAACGTGCAGTTGACGTACATCTAGCTTCCCAAAATCGAGAGAAATGTGCAGCATAAATTCCCGGTCATAAAATAGGAATAGGCAGTACGATGGAGATTTTCTCTATCGATTTTGTGAAGCTATATGTACAGTATCTATTAAAAAATGATAGTTTTATTCCGCCGCTGAGGATAAATCTACACATCTCTAGAATATCTTTGGTCCTGCTGGAATGATTCATAACATGAATGGAATCATGGTACAATAAGTGAACAAATCATCACCATTTTAAAAGACTTGTATCATTATCATATGGGCTACAACGTAGCGCAGGACAAATATTCTATACCAGCAGGCCCGTAGCCAGGGGGGGGGGGTTCGCAGGGTTCGGGCGAACCCCCCCCCCCCCCTGGCCAAAATTGCTTTCAAAATTATGCAGTTTTTCACCATTTTGACCACTTCACAAGTGATTTTAGCCATACTTGGGCCAAAATTGTCAAATGTGAACCCCCCTGGAAGTTTTTGAAAACTGAACCCCCCCTTGGCAAATCCTGGCTACGGGCCTGACCAGATTCCAATAAGCAGAGGATCATATCTTATAATTTATAAGTGACAGATACTGTAGCATGTCGGGTATAGTAGAAAGTTCCCTTTAACTTACATTTATATGTTTTAGTGGTTCAATTTTCATATCACCCTTATGTATCTAATAGTTATACAAATTAAAATATGTCCAGTAAAAGAAAATGGTACCTGTCCAATACAAGAAAAAGGTATTTCACTTTTTGTGATTTTATAACATGGAACTAGAAGTCACATTTTCAAAAAAAATTTGAATATTTGATGACGTAAATTAAGATTTTTTCTACTCGCATCTAGTCTTTTAACACAGGCTGGTATCGAAATATTTGTCCGCTGTGACGGAGCATGCTATTTTTCATAAAAACACTAAGAATACTTCACAATTTATTTTTTAACTCATATGTTTCGTTATACCATACAAAATTACTTACTCCATGCAATGAATATATCATTTGCGGGTAACTTTCACTTCTGTTTGAAGTCCAATTACGCTGGGAAGAAAAGCTATTGAAAATGGCGCTGGAGTATCATACTTCAAAATGTACCATTTCTTGTTTAACTTTCTAATGGCACGATATAGTGACACGATAATATTTACACATGGTTTCAGCATAACTATGAAGGTATAAATGAGATGTTGATGTATTTGGTCTTTTTAATTCTTTTATAAAAAATAATGTTTAATTTTTTTGTCCGCTGTGACGGAGCAGTTGCAAATGTGAACTGTGAAAATGCTCCGTCAAAGCGGACAACGAATATCAATATTATTTTTTATAACAAAAATTAAAATGACCCAATGCATTAATATCTCATTAATACATTCAGAGTTATGCTGAAAACATATGTTAATAATATCGTGTCACTATATCATGCCATTAAAAAGTTAAATAAAAAAGAAATGGTACATTTTAGAGTTTGATACTCTGGCGCCGTTTTCAATAGATTTTACTCCTAGCGTTATTGAACTCCAAACAGAAGTAAAGGTTACACGCAAATGATATATCCATTGCATGGAGTTTAGTAATTATCTTTGATATAACGAAACATATGAGTTAAAAAATAAATCGTGAAGCATTCTTAGTGTTTTTATGAAAAATAGTATGCTCCGTCACAGCAGACAAATCTTTCGATACCAGCCTGTGATTAAAGAAAATGCAAACAATATTACATTTTTCCCACAGGCTACAAAGATACCAATTTTATTTTTACATGATATCCTAAAAATAGCACATGAAATATGGAATAATTTATTATTACCATCTCGAAACTGATATCTTTAACTCCATTTAATGCTATACATATTAAATCGTTTGTACTATCAGAGTATTAGTTTTGTACATATGTCCTTTTGTATTTTGATAACTTACTTTAAATTGCTAAATAATTTGGCAATATTTCAATTCACCAAATTATATTATATAAAGCGCAACTTCTAAGTACTGGCACAATGGATTTTTTTTCAGAAAACTACAAAATGAATTATAGTTGCACTTTTTCAGTATTAAGTGATTCAAGAGGTAGTTCATCACTTTCGTGAACTGGGGATCTTTCATTTTGAGATTCATTTGTGGGCTCATATATGTATGGTGCATACTGGCCCTCTGTTTGATCCACACTAGGAGGCTCTATCATATTACTGGAGATTATTGCCACTGAGAAATGAGCCTTTCGATGGTCTTTAAGGTGATCTGGAAGTGCAAACTGTTTATCACATACATCACATGTGTATGGTTTTTCATGGGTATGTTCCATCCGGAAATGACGATCATAGTCCATTCCTACTCGACACACTTTCTTACAGTTTACGCACTTCACTTCGAGTAATTCGTCAGCATTGTCAGCATCTACCCCCAATGAAGTTAAATGCATTCTGCGGTGATCCTTATAATAACTGGAAATTGCAAAATCTTTACCACATATCTCACAGTGGTAAGGTTTCTCACTTGTGTGTGCTATTCGGAAATGTTTCTCAAACCTGGATGCTTTATAAGGCTTCGCACACACCGGACAAACTATGTTTTCTGGAGCCCGTCCTTGTTGGATTCGAGCACGAGGTGTAAACTCCCGCACCGATTTAAAAGCCGAATAAAGCTCTGCCCTTCGTTCAACTGGAAGTTTGAGAAACTTTGCGATTTTGTAATAATGCTTTTTTATCTTATGCCCTGAACCATGGTCCTTTTTTAAAATTTTACGAAGTAAACGTGCACTGCATTGGATCGTGGTTTTAGCGAACAGTTTTCGAGAGACTTTCATGACTTCCATTTCATCTTCCATGTTTGTGATAATATCTTCCATTGGCTCATCAAGCTCTGAAAGTAAATTTAAATGCAGGTGAATAATTTGCTCTCATAATATGAAACTATATCCAGGGGTTTCAATAGCAGCAGGCAATTTTCACCGGTTGTTTTCACAAAATCACATGTTTTTTTAAGGGACTTTTCAACTTTTCCATGTTAAAATTGTAATTTACATTAATTTTGCCTGTTGTTTTCATTCATTTAGCCTGTTGTGAGAAATTTTAGAGAAACCCCTGTATATCAGAACAATAATTACACAATAATTACATTCCGACCTGTATCAAAGTAATTAAATATTCAAAAAATATACATCATGAAAATACAGTGTTGCATGATGCCATTTTATTTCTTGATGAAGGTACACAGGGAGATATGCTGAGTACTAAAATAGTACTCATGGCATTTTAATACTAACTGAGTACTCACTTCAGTAAATATTAGTACTAAATGAGCACTTATGACATGAGCACTGATTTATTGCATGTTTTAGTACAAATTAAGTACTCATATGATGAGTGACAAAATAGCAGTAATTTCATTGACTTTTTAGAGCTAAATGAGTTCTCATATCATGAGTGATAAAATACTAAAAATAGTACTAATAAAATTGTTTTTCAGCACTAAATGAGTACTCATATCATGAATTAATACTAAATTACAAAAGTACTCATGAGCACTCATGTCATGAGTGCACTTTTGCCAGAGTGCTAATTTAGTACTAATTTTTTACTAATTGAGTAATCAGCATATCTCCCTGTAAATACACTTTAATATGTTAAAAGAAACTTTAAAATCTTTAAACCCAGCGGTTAAAGTAATACATGGCAAAGTACTCATTAGTAGAAAATTATTTAGTACATGGCTGATGGAAGTGGAAGGATATTCAATAGGTCAAAAAACATATTACACTGACTGTATATTTGTATATAAATAGTTCATCTCTAATACCATTAACTCATTTTATGAAATATCATCACAACTGTATCAATATAGAAGATATATATAGATATTTCTGTGTGTATAAAATACACAGGTTATTATGCACAATTATTGTATAAAATGATTAATTTTTCTAGTTGTTGGAATGTACTTTGTAACTTAAACAAGCATGTTTCAGACCTGCCAACCTTGAACCAAAAAATCCAGTATGAAGTAGTTTTTCCATTTGATTTAAAAACTGAAAATAATAATTCTCTAGGAAAAACTTTTTTAAATGTATAAAAAACAATAATTTTTACGGTTAAAACTAGCTTTTCAAGTAGAATTAAGGGAAAATTGTAGGCTATTATTGTATTGTATTGTTTTTAATGAAGGAGAGCAATACCTTTTGGGTATATCCCGAATATGTACAGTCATAATGAATGCAAGTGAAGTAATCCTCGAAGGCAGACCCAGACACTCCTCCCCTTGAAGGAGTCTTGTGTTATTCTATATTTGCCCATACATAGGCACACAAATATACATCACAGCCTTTTTACGGTTGTGGAACACTCAGTCAAACCCTCTGAAGTACACAACAAGCAAATTAATCTTGCCTGAACTATTGCTCATATTCAGAACCTACTGTATAATTGGTTATAATTTTCAAAATTTTGATTATTCGTCTTATTCACTTTATGCCAAAGCTATATCTTACCATAATCCACAGCTTCCCCTTCAGATGTCTCCTTTAAAAAATCTACTGCAATCTGAGGTAAGATATTGAAATTCTCAAAACTTTGCATTGAGCCTTCAGAAAAGTTAATAGATCCATATGGTAAATTTTGTGACTTCTCCATGGATCCTGAGTTATCCTCAAAGTCAAAGTCATTGGTGTCGTCTTCATCAGGCTGTTCAATATCCTGAGGTTCCGATTTTATCTGTATGGGAATATCTGGGGATTTGTGTTCTGTGGATGTGTTCAGTTCAAACCTGGCATCAGCCTCTGCTGAAAAGTACAAAACAGTAAAATTATGGTACTGTATGGTATGATATACCGTAGTACAGTACAGTTCAGTATTGTACAGTACAGTACAGTGCAGTAAAGTACAGTATCTCTATGGGATTATTTGGGGATTTGTGCTATTATGTACAAATTGGCTAGGGGGGTGGGTTTTTTTTTGGCCCACCCTGTATATGTTCCATTTCAAACCTGGCAATAAAGTACAGTACAGTGGTCTGGTACAGTACACTACTGTGGTACAGTACAGCACAGTACAGTACAATGCAGCATAATACAGTTGTACAGTGCAGTACAGCAACTATGAAGTTGATATCGGTATTCATAATTGAGTGTTCACACACATAAAAATTAATAAAATGCACCAGAATTCTGAAATAAAAGATTTTAGATTGCATACTGTAGATTGGGTTAATTTGGCGCTATTTACTTTGGCGATTTTGCCATTTTTGGCATATTGGTGGCTATTTAATTTGGCTGAATCTATTATTGAAGTGATTCCCCTGAGCCAATTTAGATGTGGTGTGTTCTGATTATCACTCTTATCCTTTTCATTTGTTTAAAATGACTTAAACACAACTGACAAAATTCCCGGGATCCTCTTTAAATTTTGGCGAAGATGCAAATTGGCATTTTTCTATTTCACCAAATTTGCCATATTAAAGCGGGCGCCAATTAACCCAATCTACAGTATTCTAATGTTTACATTGTTTGCATTTTCTCTTTAAAAAATATGTATTTGCAAATGCTAAGGGGAGTTGTCAAAAATGAATACCATCATTTCTTTAATTGGGGGGGTGGAAGTTCAGGTGTCATTAAACATGTTAAAGAGATAACATTGGAAATCCAAAAATGAGATGGTAGGAATAATAACTTCAATTCTCACAAATTGAATTCAAACCAGCCACTTGTAACCATATAAATGTGACAGTCACCTACCTTGGTCATCTTGTATTGGATGTTGTATATCTGCATTCGTCTCTAACAACTGTTCCTCATTTACTGGTTCATGAAGTTCATGTTTAATCATGGCATCCACTGCATTGCCAAAGTTAGTGAACCTGTTGTCTCCTGTGATTTCATTGTCTAATTCTGGGTCATTCTCTAAATGAGTACCTGATGATGCAGCTTCTTCACGTCGGTTATACAGATGATACATTGGGTTAGGTACCATTGTTTTTTCATTTTTAACAGACTGCTCTATCTTAATACTCCCGGGTGTCGTATCCACAATGTCCGATACTTTTCTACCCAGACATTGATCAACAATAGATTGGACACAACTATCATCTACCATCTGTGAACTGTGATTGTTTCTCTCAATCATGCTGTGTTTTCTTTTGTTGATCCGCGTGAACTTTGATGACTTCCACTTGCTGTTTTGCATAACAGTCCTGTGCATTTTGACGACAATATCTCCCCGAGAAGCCGTTGACAGGCAAACAATTGCATCAATGTCAAGCGATTTTTCAAATGATACATGCTGGGTGCAGATATCAAGAATGGCATCTTGAATCAGTTTTGTGACCTCCATGTTACTCTTCATTGTTGCACCCTGAAATATTATTAATTTATGAGATGAGTTGTGATTAAAAAATTAATTTTTTTCCTTAGAGTAATATAGTTTTTACAGCATGACAGCTAAATTCATTTCCTAGACCCGGAGCGCTTATTTCGCGATTGGACCAATCAGATCGTGCAACAAATACGAGATGCATGCGCAGTAGAAGATAAGAAAGGGGAATTTTACACATGCTATCTGTTGCAAGACATGCCTGGTACAAATCAACATCAAGTTTCGCAAGGATCCTGCCATGACCATGGTAGTGTTATCGTGAAAGCCTTGTACTATCATGACAATGCTATATATTATACTGCAAGGGCTGTCATGACCGTGGTAACGTTAAAGCCTGATATGGCCATGACAGTGGTTGCAAGACCTGTCATGACCATGGTAATATTAAAGCCTGATATGACTGTGACAATCGTTGCAAGGCCTGTCATGACGGTGGTAATGTTAAAGCCTGATATGACCGTGACAATGGTTGCAAGGCCTGCCATGACCGTGGAATGTACAATAAGCACAATATGATTGTGACAACGATTATATTAAATGACAATAGAATGAGAATGCCATTATAAAAAATTACACTTTTAACCACCTTAAATATGTACATCTAGACTACTGTACATGTACATGGTACTCACATACATGAAATCTTAGATTCATTTTTAACTCATAATTCATTTCCTTAAACTATAATCTTAATCTCATTCAAGAACATTCGATCTGATAACACATACATTACTTTCTATGACGATCAATAAGCAAGGTTAGTCCATAAAAATACACTAACAATAGCAGGGGTGAAAAATATGGATGGAAGTTAACAGGAAATGACAAAACAGGAAGTGAAATTTTTTTTTGCATTTTTAGACATTTTTGAACCAAGATAACAGAGTTCTTGTTTGACCTCCAGTCAATTTAACTATTTCCACATATCATTTACATGACCAAGATCACAATGTGCATGGTCAGAATGACCCTAATCATGATGGAATAACCTTTTTAGCCCTTTGAAAGTGTGACTGAAAAAAGGCTAAAAGTAGGAGGTAGCCAAAGGTCACTGAACAGAATCTTTTGAATTTTTCAGAAAATGTGCCCAATATAATGCTCTACATGTAACTGATACAATCTTTGAAATTTTAGAAAATTGTCTTGAACAAAAATGGCGGTCATGAAAAGGAAAATACATCACTTTTCAAATCATTTCTTTCATTTTTTTCTTTTTCTATGAATAAAATCAAATTTTCAAAGATTGTTTCATTTAGAGCAATATATTGGGCACAATTTCTGAAAAATTCAAAAGATTCTGTTCAGTGACCTTTGGCTACCTCCTACTTTTAGCTATTTTTCAGTCACATTTTCATAGGGCTGAAAAGGTTATTTCATCATTTTTAGGGTCATTCTGACCATGAACATTGTGATCCTGGATCTGTAAATGGTATTTGGAACTAGTTGAATTGACTGGAGGTCAAAACAGAACTCTGTTATCTTTGTTCAAAAAATGTCTAAAAATGCAAAACAAATTGTCACTTCCTGTTTTGTCATTTCCTGTTAACTTCAATAGCACCTTAACAGGCCTGTCAACTGTCCCGCAATTTGCGTATTTGTCACGCATTTGCTGAAGAATTTGAAGTCACGCCAGTTAATTTTGCGTGACAAAAAATGTCACGCAAATACGCATTTTACCTGGTAATTGTCAAGCAAAAATATTTCTGTAGAAAAATTCTAAAAAAGATCGTCTACACAGCAAAAATACGAACGGCGGAAAAAAATGTACGCATTTCGTTCGGACTTTCCACGCGAATTACGTATATATCACGCATTCCGTTCGTAATTTTTCGTACCGGGTAGTTATCAGAAATTTACACCAAACAGGAAATGAAAAAAACATGTAGATTTTAGATTTTTTGAACTCAGAAAACAGAGTTCTGCTTTAACAGTCAATCAAAACCCTTACATTTAGCTTTTTCAGCCCTCTGAAATTATGACTGAAAAAAGTTAAAAGTTAGCATTTATGATAGGTCACTCAACAGAATATTTTGAATTTTTTAGAAAATGTGCCAAATATATTGTTCTAGATAGGAGCTTTGAAAATAAGAAAATTTGTCTGAAACAAAAATTGTGGTCATCATCATCATTGGAAAACACGATTGATCAATTTTACTAATCATTATATCGCGGGTTAGTACAAGAACGTTTTTTATGAGAAAGTCATAAAAAGGAAAAAAGATAGCTTTCCAAATCAGTTTTTTCATTGTTCTCTATTATTATGCACAGAAAAACAAAAGTAAAGAAAATTGTTTTCAGACATATTGGTGATATTTTGTAAAACAAAGAAAGGCTTTCCCTCACTGACTGTCATTTGCATGATGTTGTCAAATCAAAAAAAATAATTATTTGGAAAAAAAATAGAATTCAAAGGCATTTTATCCACCTATAACTTCCAACCCATTCATTCAAATTTTCCAGACAATACCTCGTATGCTATGTCTACAAAGTAATATTAACATTTACCGTTAAAACAGCATGTTTAAGAGATTAGCCGCATTTTACGAGAAAATTAGTATTTTCGGTTTACACAGGTGCATAATTTCTCGTCTCTCTTACAGGAGAGCTTTTAATTCATGAGGCGCCCCAAATTTGATTTACCGTACGCCCCCCCCCCCCCTTCCGTTATAATTCTCGGGTTACACATGTACTAATAAAGAAGTTTTGGGTCCTCAATCCTTATGAAACTCGCAAACAGGAATATAAGGACGGAACAATGAATAATATTTTCTCGAAATAGTCAACAGTGCGCACTGGCAGATCAGAGGCTAACAAGGGCCCCTAGGGGCCCAAACTTTGAAAATTTAAGGCCTATTTTGATAATTTGGCCTCAATAAGGCCAAATTATGCCCAAAAGGCCCATTTTGTGAGGCTCTACATAATTTAGGGGGCCCTAAGAAATTTGTTATGGGCCCACAAAAGCCGCCCCCCGGGCTCCTGGATCCGCCAGTGGTGCGTAGCCTTAGGCTAATGCCATAGGCCAGGCTGGGCACTCATTTTAATTTATTTCATGCCCCCGCCCTCCATTGATATTTACAGATAGGCCTACAATATAGACATTTTTCCATGGAATATTCGGCGTATTTCAGGCCTGTCAACTGTCCCGCAATTTGCGTATTTGTCACGCATTTGCTGAAGATTTTGAAGTCACGCCAGTTTTTTTTGCGTGACAGAAAATGTCACGCAAAATACGCATTTTACCTGGTAATTGTCAAGCAAAAATATTTCTGTAGAAATTTTTTCGAAATATGTTTACGATACGGTAAAAATACGAACGCCGGAAAAAAACGAACGCAATTTGTTCGGATTTGTCACGCGAATCCCGTATGTGTCACGCATGTTCATTGGAAATTTTTCGTCCCTCCCCCCCCCCCCCCCCCCCCCCCCCCCCCCCCCCCCCGTTGACGACAACGCGAGCGTAGCGAGCGCGAAAAATTTGAGGTGTTCAAAGTTTGGCAAAGGTGCTCAAACTTTGGCCAAAGGTGTTTAAAAGTTGGCCAAAGGTGTTCAAAATTTGGACAAAAGTGTTCAGATTTGGACTTAGGTGTCCAACATTTTGAAGTCACTCATATTAGGTGGTCCCAAGTTGACAGCCCTGGACTATTTGCCTATCATGGGCATTCAATTATTGAATGCCCATGGTACTATTGAGAGCAAAGACCAATTAAGGTGTCAATATAAATCACATTTTGATCCTAGAATCGCTCAGAACGCGACAAATAAGCCCAACATTTCAATATTTATGAAATAAATCATATACTAGAATAGTATCTTCAATCTTGGTCCGTCCTAAATTCGCTCAGAACGCGCCTGGAATAAGTCCAAAAATCCTAAATTTTCTGGAGCTACGCCCCTGTCATTATAGGCCTACATGTTTTTCTTTTATTAGGCCAGTTTTGTGTATAGTTTTCTCTATAACAACTTACATATGACTTTTTTATTAAATTTTCCTCTGCCTAGTTTCTCATTATCATACAAATCTAGGCCTACGTCAAAATGGCAGATATTTCACTGTTATTGAAAAAACTTATTGTTTAATTGTTATCCCTATTCTAGCAATCATTTATTTTGCCAGATAAATTAAAAATGACAATCAATAAACAGGATTTATTTTTTGAACTGATGGCCAACGATAAAATATTACAATTTTACGTTTGGAATGGAATGCCACCTTTTTAAGTTAGTGGGTAACGTGATATTATATACATGGAGGCTGGTATATTATTATGTCCATGTACAGGGGTTTCTCGCGAATAGGCCCGCGGGCATTTATTTGAGAGAGTGTATGTGTTTTCTTCTTTTTAAAGATCCATGGACGTTCTTTTCGAGAACCTCCAAATAAGGCCATTGGTCATATTCGAGTAAAGCAAGTATCCATTGAAATTCAATCGCTTAATTAATTTGTACGGTAAGTGATTTTGTCGTTCAAGTGCTTATTCTATTTTTCTAGAATGACAGTTGACACCATTTGATTGTTGAATTTTAAAATCTAGAATTGTATTTATCTATCCGTCATTTTTTGAAAATGAACTGAAAATGTCTGCCTATATAGGCCTAGCCAACATATGTTCAAAGGATAGGTATCGATATGGTGAACTGAATTCAACAATGTTTTTCTCTTCACCAATCATTGAATACATTCTGTAAAAAACACGGTCCTTTATGTAATGTTGACCGATTGGCAACAATTTAATGCAAAAATTATTTTTATATATTTTATATAACTGTTTTTGTTAACATTTTTTGTTTTTAGTGCAATTGTTTTTTGTTCTTCTCTACCAATTCTCGATAATGAAATAAGATGTCTTTCCGAACCTTGTTGGAACAAAATAGCATATACAACATTTTCTAAGACCTCTCTCAAAATTATAGTTATACAAAGAAAATTTTGGTTGATTTTACAATAAGTAAGCAAAAACTGCAAAACTCCCCAAAATGGATAAAAATAATTAAGTTCAACCTTTTATTTCATTAACAAGATACTTTTTTAAAATCAACCAAACTTTCCTTTGTACAATTACAATATTGAGAGACCTAAACCGTTGTGTTTATGTCGTTTTGTTTCTGCGTATCCTGCCCCAATCTTATGAAATCCATGCATTTTCAAAAATGTTAAGCGAAATAAAAATGTGGACGTTTTTTGGCCCACTCGGCACTATACATATTTGAAATATCATATTAAGTTATTTTCAACCTAGAAAGGCCAACAATATTGCTTTATTTTTGAAAGTTTATCATATTTAGAAAATATCCGTACTATAAAATGATAATTAAAAAATTGCGCCGACATCACAAAGGACCATATGCATATTCCATTGGGATCTCCCCATGAGAAAAAAATAATTCATCTGATTTTTCAAAATGAATATTCTGCTTAAATAATAAATTATTACATTTATATGCAAACTAGTATCTTGTTCAGCCTGTTGTTGACCTATTTTCAGCACTGTATTGATGTATAGGCCACTTATTAGGGTCATAATTCAATCATGAAGTGTAGAAGCATAGATTCCAAACCAGGAAGTATTTTGTGTCTGTCAAAATCCATTTGCATCCTGCACATCCCTACATCTTATCCAAATATGTTACTACATAATGAAATATACTTATATTCTTTGGTTTTACAAAGTTGTATGATTTTTGATAAGTGTAAATTTAAAGTTGTTTTGGAGCATTTTTCTAAAGCCATTTTGTAGGGGAAAAATGATAAAAAATGTACAATCTTTTAATTTTAAGTATGACTTGAATCGATTGCAAACTTCATATTTGAGATAAAACATTTGTGTCATATTGTGAAATTATTAAGTTTGCAATCGATTCAGATCATAGTGTATTTTGGGTATTTCTGTGATAATCAATGGAAACCAATGGCCTTTATTGGGATCTGCTGATATCCTCATGTTAAGTCAATGATGCACAGCCCCATGTAAGTCAATACAACCTTACTAAACTAAATGGCCCCTATCTCAGCCTATGTGTGCCCGAGCACTTTAATATTTTTCAAAGAGTTATATGACATTCTATTCTTCATGTTACACCTAGGAATTATTCATTTTGACCATAGGGGTATTTGCCAAATAACGCACCTCTTCCTTTTACACGGGGCTATTAAAAAACAACTTCGTAAACGGATTAAATGATAAATATCCAAACATACGTGTATCTTTTCGTTGAAACCATTCAGACAAACAGTATTGATACCATAAATCACGATGTATATATGAATTATAACACGCCATCTTATTCTGCCTGTGAACCATCTCATAAAGACAGACCCTCCATCTGATGCAACTTCGCGCCTATAAAATAACCCTGTATCCAGGCACGCCTGACACCTTAGTATGATGCCGTGCCTGCATTAACTAAATAAATGCGAATTATATGTAAAAGTATACTCGAGAATGTAAAATGTAAGTAATATTTTCTAAAAGAATGTCTATGTTTCACCTTAGAGTTCACTTACAATACAATCCTAATTTGTTCTTAAAAGATGTGAATTCTGTTCACATATGGAAGTTATTGCCGATGTAAATGCAGAATCAGAGCTATAGGGGGTGACAAAATTGCACAATTGACATATATGGGTTATTTACTGGGAGGGATTGAATATGGGTTTTATTCCGAGGGACAATATGATATTGACCGAAGGGTAATATGACATTGACCGAGGGAGCGCAGCGACCGAGTGTCAATATCATATAGCCCGGTCAATATCATATTTCCGAGGAATAAAACCCATATTCAATCCCGACCAGAAATAACCTATTTATTCCATAATACACCCCTCTAAAATGCTACATTTGGATAATGCAGATAACTGGGAAAAAATAACCGGGAAACCGAAAATAGGTTAATATGCTCCAATGCGATTTTTTCCCGGGGACAATACGATTGTTTCATGTAATACGCTCCAATACGATTTTTTCCCGGGGAAAATACGATTTTTTCATGTAATACGATTCAATACGATTTTTATTCCTTCATATTTCCCTGGGAAAACAGTAGTATTATGGAATAAACCTTTATATTCTTTACGATACTATATTACCTCCCAAAAGATCTGCAGTATGTTATCAATATTGGACCATTGGGCCTCAATTAGTGGGCCTTTTTGGACATTACTGGGCTTTTTCTGGGCCTCAAATTTTCAAGCACGGATAAATGTTCACAGATTTTAAATTTGCCCCCCCCCCCCCTTGCCCCTTGTTAGCTTCTGGATCCGCCAGTGAAGTTATTCAAGATTCAATGTGCTAAAGAAGGAAAACATTATTGTAAAAAATCTTTTATAAGGTTGTACGCTAGATCTGCTACTTTCTAAGACACATGGAACTGTTTCTATTTTAGCCCTATACATGTTGAATTAAAAATAAAAGAATTATCCTGAAATTAAGTCAGAACTTTATAATTATTATTATTATGTGCTCATCTGCATAGGTGGAAATAAAGATACATAAACATAAAACTGGTGGACTTCGTAAAAATAGAAATGACACATTCTGATACTCATAGCATCTCTCTCTGTTGCATCGCAGATGTTATCTCTCCAGAAGGATAGAGGCGTGGCTTACCACGATGGGTGAGAAGTACTTAAGAATATCGTTGCTGTGTACTAGCTACAAGAGAATATTGATACTAATAACCCCCCTCCCCCATATTTTTCGAAAAAAATATACACACTGTATAGTTAATTATCAGTATCTCTTGATCTTTTGCAAAATTATCTATCCGTGGACGTTTTAGCTCATGTAAACAAGAAGTAGCATCCAGCATGGAATTTGCATATTTCCATATGTTCGTCAATAAAATAGGTAGAGTTACCTGAATTAATGATCTAAATTGTCTTTTGAAAAATTGTAAAATTATCCAAATATGTATTTGTGTGATATACGGGTGCCTACCAACGTTTTTATTTTGTCATAAATTATAGATTTTCAATTCAGGCTAATGTATGTATCTATGGTGGGCTTTTTATTTATTATTTACATAAACATGTACGTGAAGATCATACCTCTCAATTTCATTACATTTTCCGGTTTTCCAAGACATGTATAAGAAATGCCTATAAGGACCCGTTTATATAAGGAGTACTAAATGTTTGAAATTTTGAGAAGGGAGCCACTCGCTACCATATTTGTTGTGCGTTGTAATAGTTCATTTTGATATTGAGATACGTAATGGCCATGGGTTTGCATTATCGCTGTGTTATAAAACCGTACATGTATATTCGTTCAAATAACCAAGTCAAGAGCCCCCTAGTGTATAGGAGTCAATATGATTCTGATTATGAATGGACAATCAACTAATCATCATACTTTTTCACCATAATTAAGGCAATATTTTTTACAATAATTTTAATGTATCAATTGCAATCAATAACACATACAAAAATATGCTATAAAACGAAAATTACCTTGTTCTGCTGCTAAACCTATACTGATTGGGGAACCCTCGTATACAACTCTGGGGTTGGGAGGTAAGAAAAGGTAAACAAATGAAAAATGGCCATTTCATGATAATAGGCAGATTAATACGCATAATGTGAACATGTAGGATGAGCTGTAGTATTTATATCATTGTCAGTGAAAGACATTCAGAACAATCGACTGAAAGACTGCCTTGGGTAGAAACAGCGCTGAAGGTAGTTTTTTCAGAAAAAAGTTTGAGGTAAGTAAAATAATATCTTATTCTGTTTCACAAGTTTTGATTGAGTATCATAACACTCTATGAGTCTGTCACGTGACTTTATGGATGACGCCCGGGATGACGGTTTGGCGAACTTTCCACTTCTGGTTTGTAAGGATTCTTTAACATCAATGATCTGAAGACTTAATGCAGACTTAATTCACCAAATATTTCATTTACGCGTTTCCCGGTTAAGAGAAGAATTGGTATCGATATGGAGAACTGAATTCAACAATGTTTTTCTCTTAAACCAATTATTGAAAACATTAGATGTAAAAAACACGGTCCTTCATGTAATGTTTCACTGATTGACAACAATTTAATGTGAAAATAATTTAGAAAATTTTATATAATTGTTTTTGTTAACATTTTTTTGTTTTTTAAAGCAATTGTTTTTTGTTCCTTTTTACCATTTCTTGAGAATGAAATTGTCTTTCCGAAGCATGTTTGAACAAAATAGCATATACAACAACATTTTCTTTGATTTCCCAATATCAAAGCTGTACAAAGGAAACACGTTATGTTTATGTCATTTTGTTCCAATGAGGTTCGGATAAATGTTTCATTTCATTCAGAACATATGATACCAAGAACAAAAGAAGTGTCCGATGTGTTTTCTTAAACAATATAGAGAAAAGTATATATTTACAATGTATATACTCGTATATCTATTTCAAATTATATTGTTACTATTTAAAAGATGACCATTAAATTGACAATGTGTAAAATTCTCATAATTTTTGATGACTGATTTAAGAGAAACGTGTGTTCAAAATGTTCGCCATATCGATACCCATCCTTTGCTGTTATATGGGTACTAAATGTTGTGTCATGATTTGGGATTTTTTAAATGTTTACCCTATGAATTTTGTTTACACTAGGCGTCAAAATGAGAGCAAATATTGTATTGTGTATTGCTGTAATATGGGTACTAGATGTTGTGGTGGAAGGACAATCGAGCGTGATTGTTAAACGAGAGGAGATAGCAGCAGTGTAAGACATCATTTTACTCATAAAACTCAATTGTTTCTACAGTATTCACACTTTTCTAATTGGGTAGAAATCGAAAAAGACACAATCATATTAAATTTTCCATTAATTCAGTATTTGGGTAAATGAACTGTGGTTAGTTTAACTACACCCATCATGGGCGTAGCCAGGGAGAGTGCGATGGGTGCGATCGCACCAGTCTCCCCCCCCCCCTCCCATGACCTTATCTTCAATTACCATGTAGTTAAGGTCAGTTTTTAATGGTGTAGGGAAAGCATAGCCAAATGTAGGCAGGCGTGTGGCAGGATGGAATTCTGCTGTAAAGAGAACAAGGAGGCAAATGACACCGATTACACATGCATTTCCATTCCTTTCGTAAAAGCAATGAGGGATGTACTAGGGCAAGAATGTAGAGCAGGTTCCTTGTTGGCCGTTAAGTTACAAAAGAAGGCAAAGAACCAAAGAATCAATCGTGAGTACTCGTTGCTACTCGAGCCTTTAAAGTTTTTGCCTCTGTGGTGTAAAGATATGTACACACGCTGGACTTCTGAGACCAGGTTTCTTCAGCATGTGGCAAAAAAGCTAGCTAAAGCTGATGTCAACTAGAACACTTGGGAGGTGATTTCTAGAGTGCTTCTGACTCGATAAAACGCTTGCGCTGGCGAGCACCATTGTTTTTACCTTCGATAAAGAGGAGGGAAAACCCCATGATTCGATTGATGACATACGATTTCTTCCTTCGCGCACCTCTTTTTCCGGAAGCACTTACCCTCCATCTTGGTTTTCAAAGTTTTCAAATTGACCGAGTTTTAAACCAATCAACGATCGACTCGCTAAACCGATCAGCGATGATGTCATCTCAATACAGATTTACAATATAAGCGTATGTCATCTTTGAACCCTGGGGTTTCTCCCCTTTTCCTTCGATATCAATACTATTATAGTATCTCAACTTGTAACTCAAATGAAATGAAAAAATATTTTAGTGTTTGTATGGTGAACTGTAAGTCCCACAAAAGGGGGAGCGGGCCCCATGCCCCCCCCCCTCCCATGTCATGTTCTAGTATTCTCTCATAACATTGAGGCACTAAATATACAATACAAAAATTTATGATACTGGTCAGCCAGACCTTTATCAAACCTTCGCTCCAAAGGTTTACTACATCATTTGTATAAATTAATTGAATCATAATATCACCCTAAAGGTAAAACCATACCACAGAATTTAGACCGATATAGCAAACTAACCATCCTGTCTCATGTAAAAGTTTGAGCATTCAACGCCTCTTATTATAAAATCTAGAGCCAACGGTAAGAAACTTTTTGATCGGCCCTTGTACAAAGAAGTTCATATGTTGATATTATCTCAAATTAATTGTCTTACAGTTCCTCCAGGAATGACAACAACTACAACTACAGCCGCACCAGGGGAAGAGCATAAAGTGTGAGTAAAACTGCTCGATTAAAGTATGTATCAATGTCCATGGTGACAATAACCAATAATTGATTGATTATATGGTTATTTTTTACATTTTTAACCCACCAATGTAATTGCAGGGATAGGTAGGAATATCGAGAAGTCATAACTCAAATACCGTTTCAAATATTTGATTCAAATTTTGTTGTCGTATGCCTTATGGACATAGGACCCCTGCTTGAGAAGGTATTTTTAATATGGCTATTCAATTTAAAATTTAAATCTTTGATTCGGATTTTATATTCTGATGCTTTAGAGATATAGGAGCCCTACTCAAGAGAAAAAATCAGTATGGGTGCTCAATTTTAAAATGGCAGCCACTTTCATTGAAATAAATAATAAAGTACCATTTATGGAATTTTATTGGCGCTTATTTTAAAATGACTGCCATTTTTAATAAAAAATAACTCAAATACAAGTTCGTTGACGGATTTGGTCCAGATTTTCTATGCTGATGATTTAGGAACATATCGACTGTTTCAGGTCACATTATGGGTGAAGATCTCGTCAAAGAGAGAAATAGTTCTCTACCACTTCCTGGTTATTTCAATTATGTAATGTCCAAAATGATGAGGGATTCAACAAAATTTGTTTTGTTTGGTTGAATTTGCTACATGTGGAGTTATTGTTTTATAATCGATTTCCTACTGCGTATACGTGTAAAGGTATATTCACCCGCCATCCCAATCCCAACTTGATACTCATAGCATCTTTCTGTTTAACCTGAAACATCTCAGGGCTGAGAAGATTTGAGATGTCATGGTTCATCATGATGTCCCAATCCTACAATACGTTACAAATTAGAAACATTTGCCTTTATTTCAGGACCTCGTATCATACTTGCGCTGACGTATGTAGCAGGGAGGAGTATTGTTGCTTCCCCGATATGGCTGCGTTGCGGGTGGGTACCGATTACACATGTAAGACAAGTGCAGAAGGAAAGCTCTTAGAGAAAAATGGCCAAGCGTGTTGGCCAGGGTCCCAAGAAGCTGAACGAGGATGAATAGAACAAGAACAAGAATAATGAGTTTTAATGTAAAAAAATGTGATCATTGACATATTGTTGATGAATAAAATATAAAAATATATAATTCTAACTGTTTTTTTACTTGTTTTGTTTATTTTATGCTGCAATTATTCATTTACATTCGTTTACTTTTATTTATTTGCATTATCGTTCATGTTGCAACCAGTGCCCTGGCTTAAGCTTGTAACACTGTGGCTAGTCGATCTATGTGGATGCAGTCATTTATATGTAATGTATCGTGGGTACTCGCGTACATTATAGGGAATGGGATCATTGCAAAAATATGACAGCAAATCGAGGTAAGTGATCTCAGAGTTTCTACTTAACATTGTGACTTGAAATCTTGCACACATATTCAATATACATAGTATGACAATGTGTGAAAGTTTCAGCTACCATATTCCTGTTATAGGGAAGATATTTGAATAACATTTCGTAAACGTCAACATATATGTATAAAATGGATGCACCTATGTATCATTTGGATTCAGAACGGTAACAAATGGATGCTTTAATAAATTATACTTTTATCATGATGATTTATTTACTGATGGACAACTGGCCAGATTTTCTTTGTATCCATTGTTTGGATAAACATTCCTCATTCAGTAAAGTAATTAGCCACCCCATTACAAGTAGTCTAAAGGCACCCTCATGAAAAATTGAAAATACTATATATAAACCCATCAACAGGAAAATGCCATTACATATGAAATAAAGGACCCACGGTCTTGTGCTCACACAGTGTAGAACCTACAGAGGAATGTATATCCTGATTAACAAACAAAAGTATTGGTAAATATGAGATCAATTAAAGATGATTTGTTGTAGTCAAAAGAAAAACTATGAATTTGACCTAGATTTTGACCTGGGCCTTTTAGTGTTCAAATTTTGAAGGAAAGTAGATTTTGAGGGACGGCTTCTATTGTAGATTCTTATTAAGTTGGCTGCATCCAAGCTGTATCTAGAGTTGTGTTGTTACAATTGATAATTTTCTCAAGCCCCATTGACTTAGCATGGGATACCAAAATAGCGATTTTTGAGATTTCAAAATGCCATAACTTCCGCACCGGAAGTCGGATCAAAATCTGGTTTGCAGATTCGGATTCCTTGGACAATTTTACACACATTTCATAACTTATACATTGAATTCCAAGAACTTTTTATTGTGACCTACTTTTCAGATGCCATATCTCAAAAACGGTAAGAGTGATCAAAAACAACTTGCCTGTAGGGATTGGCTTTTTTCCAAGGAACATGATTAAAAAACGGAGCAAAAATATTCAAGGACGACTGAGAAAATTGAAAAAATGACAAAGTACTGGATTTGACTTAGTTCCTGGTTTAAACCGGATTACACCCAGATCTGGACTTGGACCTGAACTGGACCTTGACTTGGACCTGGACCTGGACTTGGACCTGGAAATGGACTGGACTGGTATTTTTTCAATCTTTTTTTCTCTTCTCTTGACTTTCTATAAGGCTATCATCAGATCTATTTTTCTCGAAATTTAAAAATCAGCAATTTCTCGGAAACTGGGCGAACTTGGGAAATGGCGATGATAGGTCAAATAGACATTATGGATATGCATAAAATGAATGTGGAAATGACTCAATCCGAATAGCAGTTTTAATTTGTGCAGCCAATGTTGACAGACGGACGGACCAACGGACGGACGGACGGACCAACGGACGGACGCCTGGTTGATCCCATAGTCTCACTGTGTGAGCCAAAAACTATGGTTTTATCGCTGATACTGTTAATTTGAAAAACGGGTCCATAACATGTAATGATGACAATGAAAATGTTGAAATTAGGTACGCTAATGAAGTGAATTCAGAGCAAAAGACCCATCGACCCACTGGAATACCCACAAATCAAGTTTCATAGCCTTGCCAAAGTCGGTCTATTTTACTTATCTTGATTTCTATTATGACCGCCTTGTACCCAAGAGAAAGCCATGTGCTTTACCGACCCAATGTTTTTGTCCGTAAAATTTGACAAATCAACGACGGCCCTACATTGCCTGACTAGGTCTTCGTGCATTTCCATCGCGAATTCAGTTTTGATTTTGAATCAACATTGAATTGCATGATTTCATTTAGACGAGTATTAATGACTGCTTACATTCCAATGTACATTTAATAACATAATATATTGTAACTCTCAAGAAACACTCGATCAGATCATTGAATTTCAAGTCCTAGACGGGTAGTTTGCTTTTTTATGCAGGTCAACCTGATAACGTTTTGATTGGTCAATCAGCCTGAAGTCACACGTTGTGTCCATGTCCATATTGTCAATCAATATGGTTTTGCGATACCCTTAGGTAGCCTAGGTATTATGGGAATCTCGGAACCGCTGAATAAGTTAGCATAATATCAGCGATGATACATTGGATTGTACAAGGTGGTAATAATTCAAGATCAGATAAGTAAATAAATACCGACTTGGGCAAGGCTACCAGTTTCAGAGCCATTAATATTCCTTGAAGGTGACAATGAGACAGATGGACCATCCGTAAATCTTGATGATTTTGTCAGCTCAGCTGAACGAGCCTCCAGATTCCTTGAAACAAATGACCATCATTCAAGAATAGTATTATCTATTTACAATATTTTGAAATCGTGGTAAGTGGAATTTTTCCAATTACCAATATAGCATTATTATTGTTTTCGGACACTGTGGATTAAAATATTAAAAATACACACATTCAAAATGATTCAATTGAAACCTAGCCAGTCTGTTCAATGAATCCAATCAGAACGTCTACTAATCCACATGATACATCATAATTAAATTGCTTTTTTAAAGCTGATATTTCATACCATAACTCCAAAAATATTATAGAACGCATTGTATTTGTATTTTACTTCACACAGACATATTTGTGTATGTGAAATAATTATATTACTTGAATTTTTTATTCCCCATTACAAGGTAAACCTATGGCAAATTATACATACCTTCTCACAGCTATGAGCGAGATGATAAAACTGGTCGAGTGAACTCGTTTGAGTTATCTATTCTCCGTAAAAATATCAGAGAATGTGTGTTTATAGCGTAGCTTTGGTTTTGTAAATCAATGAAGTATGATATACACGGATGAGTAAATATAGATTATTTAAACAGAAGTGCAAAATTCTTCCATTGAAAAGTACAGAGGCGGGTACTCACGAAACATTACATGTGCCTGACTGCATCCACATAGATCGACTAGCCACAGTGTGTAAAAGAGGTAGAGGTGTAGGGTGTATTCCAGTAATATAGATGTCGTCTATTTCAACATTCTATTTTAAATGTCTTGCCGCTTATCAAATTGGACCACAGTGTTATAAAATTAATAGATGGAGTTTGTATCATCATTGTATTTGTTACATCCTTGTGTATCTACACCCAAGAGTGGAAATAATTACCCAGAATTCAAAGATGAACTTATCGTCACATGATGTGAACATAAACCAATTAGAGGTGTATCCATTGGCATACATGAAATTGAGTTCATGTATGAATCCTGTGTTATTTCCTCGTTTTGTACACTCGCAGTCTTCCAAGCGCCTCTTCAAAACTTGCATTTACTTTATGTTCGTCATGCTCTAGGCAAGATATATTTTCTATAGTTTGTGAGTATTCATAGAAACGAAAGTGTCTAGGCCATCAAAGTATTTATTTTGTTTAAAGTTGCAAAAAGCAAACATCCTGAAACTTATGTTAAGTCGTGTTCATATTTGGCACTGAGGTGGTTGTCATAGTGACTTGAATATGGTTGAACAGCGGAGTAAATCATAGGGTCACAAAAGATGAAGAAAGCAGTTACATTTTTAAAGGACCTCTGATCAATTGATCTTTTCCAACCATTTTTATTGAGCATTAAATATGATTTTCTACTTGTGGTTGTGAAGCAATTCACAAACACTCCAATAACTAACAAAAATCTCAGTGAAAACTGTAAATATAGAATATTAGTTATGACATTAGATATCAGAAAAAGAATAACAATTTTTGTTTGTAATTTGTGAGGTTACGATTTGCTCCGCTGAACCCGACTTCAAGTTACTATGACAACCACTATAGCGCTTAATATCAAGCTAAATTTTCCGGATGGTCAAGGAAATGTATCATGCTACTCTTATGTAAGTTTGGTTTATAGATATCACAAAGTAAATGTTTTAGAGCATAATTAACTTGATTAAACGAACTGTAATAGTAATCTCTCTTCATTTTGAAAGATGTACAAAATTGGTAATTAAAAATCCATATTATGCTTGATTATTGTTAAAGTCACATGAATCTTTTTTACTTCTTAACAATATTAACATGGAATTCTATATTGTTGGGTTCTGTTGGTTGGTAAGTGATTGTGCACGCTCCTATTTCCTCCTTCATACAGTAGCACCATATTATACCTGAAATTGTCACTTTTTACTGATCCAACATGACGTATAAAATTCCTATATTACACAATAAAAAGCTTTGAGATATTATTTTGTAAATCAACGACTTTTTATTCATAGTTGATACAGGAGCACATATAAATATAAAATACAAACGTGTACAAATGACCGAAAAACTATAACGTGTACGCAATTCTCTGTCTTTTGAAAAATATTTCATGTTCAGAAGTGGCCCAGTCATTTAAAATAGGCATTGTACACTGTACAGTGTATATGTGTTATATTTACTATAGAGTTGTCTCTGGCAGGTCTTTGGTACCATCCTTTTATGTCAACCTTCTGGTGAACTAGGTCGATCTCCTGTGATCTAAAAGTCGACGAGAACCCTAAGATTATGCGTGTCCAGAAAATATCATTGTATGGCTGTTCAACTCAGACATGTCATCACGGTATCCTGTAAAAGATGTAAATACAAAATAGCAACTGATCAAAATCAAATCTCATTATTAAAACATTAATAGTAGCTGGCCTTTAACTATAAAATGAGTGAACCCTGCCAATATTAATGCGCCTAAATACAACATAATCAGTGGTAATTGGGTTAGCCTATTCACTTTGGCTAAAACATTGCGCAGGTCTCCATTTATTTCGACAGATATACGACCAAATATCGAAAATT